AACACAAACATTTTTTAATTTCCGGCAAGGCAAAGAAATAGTGGCATAGCATATTTGAACTTCTAGACATCTGAAAATTTGGTAGTTTTTAGATACTAATAATTTCGTTAGAAGAAAATTCTTTTTCACCTCCAAGTTAGTGTTCTTCGAAATTTGTAAAATTTGAATTTTTGGCGCCTTATATTTCCGATATAATTAGAAGCTTCCCAAAATACCATGCAATTAAAAAGTAAAATCGTTTATTTCAGTTCACGCAATTAACCTTTAAATTATTTTAATACTGTTTGTGTCAGCCTAAATGCATGCAATAAACTGATATATTTTGGAATATGAAAATGAGGGGGGTTAAAAAAAAAAAGTTTTTAAATCTCATTAAAACTTGTTTTGATAGATTGCCAAAATAAGTAATGTTTAAAAATTTAGCAAACAGTATCAGTACCACTTAAAAAAAATTTATGAAAAGCAAAATTTTTCAAGGCACTCTCTGTGTTTTTATCTGCGTATTCAAAACGACTTCCAAAGTATTTGGAACTTACTACATTGTTGAAAGCCTTTGAAATGCAATTTAGAATATGAAACACTGCAGCGGAAGTGTTTTTTTTAACAACATAGAAGCCCAGAGTGAGTAATATAAAAAATTTAGAATTATTTTCATTAGTCAAGAGAAAAGTGCTACTTTGCAAGCTCTTAGTTTGACCTTACTTTATGTTTTTTTGTTGTTGTCTATTCTTAAATTATTGTTCTTTTAAATATTAAGTAACCACACTTTTTGTGGTGTTTGTTAGTTTTTTTTTCAATAAAAATATTTTAATAATAATAGTTCATTTTTTTGACCAACCGTATTTTTTAAAGTCAAATGTCAGTGAACCCTTCACCATAAGTTTTTTTTTTATATATTAGAAAAAAAAAAATCAAAATGAATAAAAATTCAACGCTTATTTTTTTTTGCTCCAACACCCATGAGCTTTTTTAAATTATTTTCTCGCGCGTTTAACTTTTGTGCTATGGTATTAAGAAGACTATGACGAATATAAAAAAAAAATCGAATAAAAATACACACAAGCAAGAGATAAAATAATTAGACGCTGTAAAAAAAAAAAAAAAGAAAAATAGAAGCTATGTGAAAAAATATAAAAAAAAATAAAACAGACAAATGAAAATTTATATACGAACGCCTCATACATGCCTAATGGTACTCACAATATAAACTATGAGATATTAAAAAAATCCTTGGCTAAAATATTTCGGAAAAAAAATTTTCCGAACTAAGCCGAATAGCGTAGAGAGTGTTTAAATATTGATGAGCATAGAAGATTGGTTATTGTTTAGTTTTGCGATTAAATTCTAAAATTAAAATCTTTAAAAATAAATAATTGTACTTTGTCTGTTTTTGGATTTGTTGGATCTTCTAAGTCTCCTCTGGGTGCCTTTTTATACCCTGCACTTCGTGAAGGGTATATTAACTTTGGTATGGAATTTGTAACTACTTGAAGGAGTCACCTGCGGTATGGACATATATATATATTCTTGCTCAGCGTAAAATTCTGCGTTGATTTAGACATGTCCGTCCGTCCGTCCGTCCGTCCGTCCGTTCGTCCGATCGCACGATAACTCAAAAACGAATAATGCAATCGACACCAAACTTTCACAAGTTTTTTCTTTTGTGCCAAGGACGAACCCTATTGTTATTGGACCAATTCGGACAACGGGTTCGGGTAGCTGCCATACAACTTAAAGAGTTTATTTTAATTATTTCAAAAACTAATAAAGGTACAAATGTAAAATTTTGTATACATGTGTCCAATTATATTCTACATATGCTCTAAAAATTCTAATGAGATAGCTGCACCGGTTCGGGTGGCTGCCATACAACTCCAAAAGCAAATTTTTTATAATCGCCAAAATAATAAAGTCAGATTCATGAAACTTGGCAGTCGTGTGTCCAATTATAGGTCAAAGATATTTCTGAAGTTTTTGTGGAATTGCTTGACAGGTTCGAGTAGCTCCCATACAAGTCCAAAAGCTTACTTTAAATATTTGGAAAAATAACGAAGTTAGATTCATGAAACTTGGCAGTTGTGTGTCCAATTATAGATCAGATATACCTGTGAAGTTTTAGTGGAATTGCTTGACAGGTTCGGGTACCTGCCATACAACTCCAAAAGCTAAGTTTAAATATTTGGAAAAATAATAAAGTCAAATTCATGAAACTTGGCAGTTGTGTGTCCAATTATAGATCAGATATATTTGCGAAGTTTTAGTGGAATTGCTTGGCAGGTTCGGGTACCTTAGAATTAATTAGAATAGAATTAGAATATAATTAAGCTTAGAATTTTATACCACTACCGGCATAATGACTCAAAATTCAATTTTAGAATAACCAGTTTTAAACGTTTAAGAAACATAAAATTTTTTCAATATTCTTTTTTTCTTCTTTCAAATCAGAATTTTATTTATTATATTTGAAATTTTTTAAGTCGCTTATGTGTTACTATACTTTTCGGCATTGTATCTTTTAAATAATGTTTAAAGACTCTATTTATTGTTAAAAAAAATAAAAGAGAGAGAAGCAAAAAATATACTTAATCTTAGATTTGATTTTAATTACCTATAAGTTTGCTTTACAATATTTACACGGTCATTTCATTTCGATAGGTTATCGTTTCAGTTCATAATATGGTTGTAAGTATAGGAGAATAAGAAAAAACCCATACAGTTGCATCTAATCTACTTGCAACTATATAAAAAAACTTATGTGTGTAAGCATATAGAGTATTATGGTTTTGAATCCCGTAGAGATTTTCATTGCTCATCGTCAGGGAATCAATGATTATTATTTTTTAATGTTTTGTTATAGATTAATCTTTTCTTATTTAATTGTATTTTAAAAATAAAATAAGCTAAATTTTAATTTGATTATTTCTGACTAGTCTGACTGGTTCTATTCGTGCAACAAATTTTCCAATATTTTAAATATTGAATTTTTTAGGAATTGCTTGTAATTTTTTTGCAAAATAATCATCTTTTGTCATTGATAGCTTCAAAAAAAGTAAAAGTACGAGTAGTTGCAAAAGACATTTTTGTTATAAAGATGGCGATATTTTTGTTATGAAAGTATTCGTCAATTGCCCGGATCTGTCTACCTACATAATTTAAAATAATTAGGGCTTTTTTTTTCTGATACCGTTCTATTTTGAATGGTAAAACTAAATTCCTAACATGAAGTAATTTTTTTTAATAAGAAATTTTTTGCGACCTCGTTTTATGCATCTACTATCGAAAATTCAATCGCTATTTTATAATTTCCAACTCCAACCTTTATAATTATATATAAATTTTCAAAATATACTGATTCCCATTCGGCGATTTCTTTAGTTCAATTCTTCGAATTCTTGATTTCCCCGGTCATTAATTTTCGGTCACGACTTTTCGATTATAATTCTATTATTGGATTCCACTTAACTGACTTCGATTCTTCGCCATCACTATTCTAACTGTTCAACCCCTACAGCCAAATTGCTGCCCAGCTTCCAATGTAAAAAATTAATATAAATTTTTTAGATCTTGCTCATCTGTTCATTCTCATTGCAAATATTGTTTCTGCTATGGTATAAAAAATTTTCGGACAAATTCAAATTAATCTAAAATTTTAATTAATTTCGAAAACTTTTAAAAATATGAACTTGTATATTTAGAAACCTTTTTTTTTTTTGTATGACCAAAAATTATGTTCATACAAAATTGATTTACAAGTTACCAAAAAATAAAACAATTTATTTACTACCCTTTTTTTGTTGATTCCAATAAACATATTTTAAAAATGTTAAACAAGATGTGAAAAATTAAATCTGACACTGTAGGCTATACACGAAAAAGAGAAAAGAAAACGAAAACGTGGCTTAGAAGTAAAAGTGAAGGGAAAAGAGAAAAGTTGCTTAAGCGAGAAAATTTTTTCTACTTTCAGAAAAAAAAAGTAATTTGTAAGATGTTATTTTGTTCTCTTTATCATGCAGAGGCATTAATTACATAATATGTTAAGAAGTGTCAAAACATTATGTAAGTTGTGAATTCACATTGTAAGAATGCCAAGAATTTTGATTTCAAAATATGGGCTTATACGTATTTTATGATCTGAAGATGATAAATAACGATTTAATTTAGCTTAGCATTTGATGTGTTTTTTTTGAAAAATGGGACGAACATCGAAAATTTAAGAAATCTGACATATTACTTTGATGCAATAAACATAAGAACAAAAAAATAATATAAGCAGGAAACTTCTTATACGTAATTAATGTTTCTTAGGAGTTCCTTTCGAGTATCGGAATACCTGGATTCTGGTTTTCACTCCTTTACTTATTTTACCAAACAACGGATCATTTTTGTAAATATTTAAGAATGTCTCTTCTTATTTTGCATATTATTATTTTGTATAAGCAGGCCACAGTCGAATTAAAAAAATGTGTTCGTCCGAACTTAAAAATTATTCAAGCTCTAAACTTTGAAAAAACTACTTTAACGAGCTTCTTATTTAAAAAAAATTGTTGATTTAAGTGTATGAAACATTTTAGTAGTGTTTATAGCATTCACATTTCAAATGGGAAACTTTATCATTGTGATAATATTGTTATACTGGGCCCAGATAGGCTGTGTGTTTTGGTCGTTACCGTTTTACTTAATGCAATATATTTAATATCTATCAGACCATCTAGCGTCTCTAATATATCTAATAGAGTGTAGATCAATTTAGTTAGGGAAAATAAAAACTAAAATAATTATAATAATCTAAATGGCTTTTGAAATCATGCTAAATAAAATGGGAAAAATTTTTCAATCGGAATATTTCGGAATATAATTTCATCTGATAGATATTTATAATGTATACAATTATGTAATCCAAATTAAAGAATATAAAAATTGACAATGACGCAGTTAAAATACTATTAAAATTATTATTTTTTCTTTTAAATTATTTTTTACATTTATTTAATTATTTTTAGGCTACTATCAACCGGCTGGTCCCTTGATTCATTCTCATGTTATTGCTCCACCATCCCAAATAGGTACTGGAATTCAACCAGCTGCACCAGTAGCCATCAAGCAATTACCAAATACAATAGATGTTACACCTGATAACGAAACACAATTACAACAACCTCCACAATCAACATCAGCTGCTGAAAGTACAGATAGCGATGTTTTAATAACTGGTGGTGATTTAGCAACATTCCGATATCCATCATCAATAGGTGGACCAACACAAAATCAAAACTCACAACAAGCAAATAATACAAGTTCAGTATCACAGCAACAATTGTCTGTCTTAGCTACAGCACAACAGCAACAACAACAAGCTGCAGCTGCTGCTGCGGCTGCGGCAGCTTATACGAGATCAATGCATCAGATGCATTATCCATCTGCATATCCACCCGGTTATTATTCACCATATCATCCAGGGGAAGTATGTTATACTACCCCATATCAACCATATTTTCCGGCTTCAAAAAGTTATAGCCAAGCAGCAGCTGCTGCGGCAGCGCATCATCAATATCGCCGATATCAACCAACTGGACCATATTATCAACCAGGTCCACCCCCTGGACCACCCGCAACAGATTTATATGTGGATCCAACACAAGGAACTGGACCAAATCAACCTCCAAACAGTGCACAGATAGCACAATCACAACAAACCCAACCACCACCAAGTGGACAATTAGTGCCAGCTGGACAGGCATTACCGCCTTTACCACCACCCCCACAACACATGGATCATTATCCAGGTCCACCTAGTTTTTACACGGGCTATAGTCCTGGTGGTGGAGGAGGAGGCTCCGGTGGCGGGGGCAATAACAATCAATGTTTTTCACGCGGTTTGCAGCCCTCATATATTGGTAAGCAAAAGTATGATCCAAATATCGAAAAACAGAAAAAATGTGTTCGTTTTTTATAATTTACGAACAAAATCCAAAAAAGTTTTTAAAAAATTTCAAAAAAACTATTTTCATAAAAATATTATATTTGACCATTTTCTTTTTATAGAATATCCACCCGCATGTCCGTGTCCAATGCAATCGTGTCCAAAAAACGTCCTTACTGGGCCTCTTATTGGTAGCAGCAACAACAGCAATCTAATGGTGAACAACAGCAACAACAACAGCAACACAATGAACAACAATCTGACGAATTCGGCAACAATTATGAATACGTCGGGGGACATGAAAATGTTGAATATCAACAATACGATGAACAGTTCACCAGCAGCTATGATCAACAATAATAACATGAATTTATCTGCAATGAACGGCAATATGATTAATAATCCAATGAATAATATTGCTGGCAACAACAACCAAAATCACAATAGCTACCATCACAACCATCATACAAATAACACACAAAACCTTAAATCCAATAAGGGCCCAGTAAAAAATCATAATTTAACAAATAGTAATAATAATTCAATTGATATTGCTGCATCATCAACGATCAACCATCAACATTTGCATCATCGTCATTTACACGCGTGCAAAATCGAAATCACTGAACCACCACCATCTACTACATCAACAATGGAAATGAAAACTGAAATTCCGGATGGTATTATTACAAATGATTTAATAACAACAGGAAATGCAACTGCACAATGTATTTCAGGAGTTGCAGGAACGTCAACATCAACAAATTCACTGTCATCCGCAATTACTAGTCATGTTGTCAGTAATAATAATAATAGTAATAACAGTAATAATAACATTTGTAATATCAATAATCTTAACAATAATAATAATAGTGTTGGTATTAGAACGATAAGCAGCAGTGATAATAATTGTAGAGATTCTCATCAATATGAGAATAACAGTAGTAATAATATTATTAATACCAATAATGATAATAGTAACAGTATAAATAAAAATAGTTCTAAAACATTATCACCTCCGATTAAAAGTTATACCGTTAATGATAAGTTATTAGAATTAGAGAGAGAAATGACAATTAGTCCAGCTAGAGGTTCAACAGGTTTACCAACAATACCAGATTCAACTGAAAAGGCAGCTACTATAACACCAGCTGCGGCCAATTTAGAAAATGTACCATCAGTTCAATTAACAATTGAGGAACAGCAAAGAATTGAACCAATTTTATCAGGATCTCAAAATTGTAATTTAATTGGTCGCAAAGCTAGAATTGGTAAAACAATGGCAAGAGAAATGATGTATGGACCAGCAGCCGCAGCTGCTATAGCACCTAATATTCAACATCAACATCCGAATGCTCAAGTAAGATTTTTTCTATTACTAACATGTTATTTACTAAAAAACTTATTACTAAAATGTTAAGAAAAATAACTTAACAAAAATTCAATTCTTTCTATTTCGTTTTAGGTATTTAATCAACATAATGCAAATTTATTTTTAAATCATCCAAGTCAATTCGCAACACCTGCTGAATCAATTATACAACCAAATTCAAACAATACTACACAACTTAGTCATCCGATTTCAAGTTGTAATTTAACAGCAAATACACTTAATGCAAGCACAATACGTTTTCCGTCAAGTATAGGACAACCTATAAAAACTGAAAATATCAAAACTGAAGATGAGGATGTTGTTGTTATATTAGATGATGAAAAACAAGTAATTAAAATTGAGGAACCTGATGTTTTTGAAGTTTTCGATGATAAAATTGAAATGCTATCTGATGACTCAATGTTTAAAGATGACATTAAACCTGACACAAGTAATTTACAACATTCATCTGGATTGTTATCATCAATAAGAAGAATGAAAATTCTAGAATCATCAAAATCGACCAAAAAATCACCTCAAAATGGTTACAAAAGTCTTATTAAACAAGCTGAACCAAAATCATACTTATGTCTTAGCCGAAGATTAGATAGAAGAGACCGTTTCAAAGCTTTAAAACAATCATGTAAGATTGGTATTAAAAGAAGAAAATTAGTATTAACAGAAGAACAGAAACAAAGATTAAAAGATCGTAAGAAGATCAGAATTTTGGAGAGACGGAAGCTAAAAGAACAACAGATGGAAGCAAGAACTAATGAATTGTTAAATAAAGTGCAAAAATCTCCAGTACAAATTATAGAGAACGACGATGCTGATGTTATTATAACATTATCAGATAATGACAAAAGTGACACAATTATACAGGAGAATAGCACTTTGGAAAATAAAGTTGAAAAAGAAAATGTAACAACACCACCATGCAATGTCGAAAGTCATCCTGATAAGTCTATTATGAATCAGGATAATAATGAAGCTAGTGATATTGATAAAATTATTAATAACAGACAAGAGCATCTTAAAACTCCATTAGATTTAACAATTGAATTAGTAGCAAAAGGTTATTTTTCAGAACCAGAACTACGATCAGCCTCTGTATTATCAAAGTCATGTCGTAAAATGAAAAAATCAAAGAAGCCTGAAGCAAGATCAAAATCTGAAACAAATGAAAACAAAACATCTTCAACTGATGCATTATCAACCAAAGAGATTTCTAATAACTTAAGTGATAGTTTACAATCTGATTTAGAAAATATTAAGAGTCATTCTGAAAATGAACATGATGGCAAAAAGAATAATTTATTAGAAAATAATTTATCCTCAACTACCTCATTAAATAAGAAAAAGAATATTTCCAAATTAACAAAATTAAAATCCAAGAAATCAAATTTAATTCCAACATCATCATTATCGTCATCACCTGTATTTGTTGAATCAAAATCAAATAACAGTAATGACATTAATATTAGCAGCGTACCTGTAAAATTAACAGATTCTGCTGAATTAAATGAACTCGACAAGAATAATACAGCAACAACAAAAGCGCTTTCCCTCTCAACATTTAAAGCAAAAACAAAAACCTTTAATAAGAAAAAATTTATTTCAACAACAAAGAAATTTACCACAGATAATAATATTAAACGTTCTTCTATGTTAACATCAAAAACTTCACCACATTCACTTTTTAGCTTTGAAAACAATAGTGAAGACACAAACCAAATATTAAATAATACTGAAGCAATTGCAAATAATAATAACATCAATGTGGAAACAAGTAATAATAACAATTCAACCACAATATTATCGTCATCATCATCGGTATCATCATCATCATCATTATCAACTTCATCATCAATATTAGAAGCAACAAATGAAGTTCCTATAATAAATTTGAATGGGAAACAAAATTTATTAGCAAAGACAATTTCAGAATATAATAACAATAACAATAATAATAACGATATTATTAATAACAACAACAACAATAATAATTCCTTATCAATTGAATATTCGATTAGTGATGATAAAAATAATGAAAATGAGGCCAGTAATATTAATAATACCACAGCTAGTGATAGTTTCAATTTAAATAGTAATGATAACAGTAATAATAATTTAACATTAACTCATTCTAAAATTGCTTCAACATTAGTACAAAATAATAATAATATAAGTTCAGATGATTATTTTATTGAACAAAATCATCAATGTCAAAATTCCTCTCAATTTAATAATCATTATCATCATTATCAACATCATCATCATCATCAAGCGCAAAAACGTAAAACATCAAGAGCACGTTTTGGTAATAGAAAACGTCCAAGACGTCATGCAAACGAACTTGTTGAAACTGCAATAATACCTCGAAAAGCAAATGCTGTGCCAAAATGGAATAATGGTTGGTCATGGGATGGTGAACCTTTCCAGGGAAAAGTATTTTTAAATGTAAATATTAAAATAATAATTAAAATTCCCTGTATATCCCTAAAATCAAATAATTCATGTTTGTTTTTGTAGAGCGATGATCCATTAGTTTTAAGAACATGTTATCCTGCAATGAAACATTCTGAAGGAGATATCATAAGACCAAGAGATTGTGTTTTATTAAGAGCTGGAACAAAAAAGAATGAATTACCATATGTAGCAAAAGTAGCACATCTTTGGGAGAATCCAGAAGATGGTAAAATTTTTAAGAAAATATAAAACAAAATACTATTATTAAACTATTTTATTTTAACTACTTACTCATATAAATTTTTTTTTATTATTTCAGGTGAAATGATGATGTCATTATTATGGTATTACAGACCTGAACATACAGAACAGGGAAGACAAGAAATTGATTGTTCAGATGAAGTATTTGCTTCGAGGCATAGAGATCATAATTCGGTTGCCTGTATTGAAGATAAATGTTATGTTTTAACATTTAGTGAATATTGCAGGTAAAATAACATATTATGTTTTTCATATTTAGAATATTTAAATTATACATATATACGATTGTATTATACAAGTACGTTATTAAATTTACGAGATAGCAATTAACAAGGTTCATTTCTCAAAAATTTAATGCTAAAAATTTCAAATTAGTTACTTATATTTGTCAGTAGTATCCTCTTAATTTTCTGAATTTTATGTAAACGTGTAAAAATATAAAAATAAAGATTTAACACAACTATAATCTTCTTGCAGATATCGTCGCACAATACGTGCCATTGAAGAAAATATTGAAGAACCAATATCAATAGTTCCACCATTACCAAATCATATTAATCCAAGGGAGGTGCCACCAAGTACAAATCCAGAACAAGTAATGTTCTGTCAACGTGTTTATGATTTTCGTTTAAAAAGACTAATGAAAACCAACTAGCATAAAGACCAAAAATCATCATTCTTTAAAAGATTACATCTCATCACTTTACGTAAACAAGATTCAAAATAAATGGAAAAAAATTTTAATTAAGGTAAAATAATAAAAAACTGACAACAAAACAAAAAACAAGTAATATAAAAATCTTAATTAAAATTATATTAATATTCTATTAATAGTAGTAAAAAATAAAAAAAGAAAAAAGTAGAAAAATTTAATAATTTTTTTATTACTTAAGAAGACTATACAAGGCAAAGGCAAATTAACTACACAAATTATTGAAAACAAAAAAAATTTAATTTAATAAGTAAAAAAAAAAAAGTAAACAAAAATCAAAATTAACCAAAATTTATATCTTTTGAAACAGAACAAAAAAAAAAAAGTAAAATATAAAAGAATTGTTTAGAAAATAATAAAAATAAAGTCAAAATTAGAATTTTAAGTAAAAATTATATAAACAATTAAAAAAATTAAAAAAATTAATTATAAAATTATGGAAAACCTTTTGGAAAATTATTAAAACAAGTAAAGGAAAATTTTGTAATAGAAAATATTATATAAACAGAAAAAAAATTTTAAAAGGAAAAGATCAAAACTTTTTTAAAATATGTTATGCTATCCAGAATATGTACTCAATATTATTTCTTGTTTTTAAAAATATTCTTCAAATAATTTCTTCATATTTTATTGCAACCCGTACAAATAACAAAATTTTAAGTCAAAAATCTATATTCGACAAAAGTATTCCGAAATTTTAATTTGAAAATCGAAATTCACTAATTTATTAAAACTGAAAAACTATAATTATATTAAAACTATTCACGAGTCATTTTGAAAGACTCAATATGTTTTGAACATATTATTTTGTATCATCTAATTTTTCGAAATTTTTAAAAAATACTAAATAAATCTTCATCAATATCATTTTTAAAGTTAGTGAGGTTTATTTCTTAATTATACAAATTCATTTTTCCTTGTTATTCTAAGGAAGAACTAATTATTACGAATCTACCTTGTATGAAATTATTGCACTTATGTATGAAAATAATTGATACTATCATAAAAATAGATGTTTTCCAATAATAAAAATGCTAATTATCAAGTTTCTTTTGATCGGTTATTTTATTAAGTTACTGAAGTGTGTTTTATACACATAACTTTTGAAGCAAAGTTTTCAAACAATCCATCATTAAAATGAGTGCTTATGCAAAAATCTAAAAATATCAAATAAACAATCTATTGAGAATAAAATCGAACTCATTGCCGGCATAAGAATCAGAACCTTTCTTTTTTTAATATCACACTGTGTAGGATACACAGCAAATAGTTTAAATTGCCTACATAAGCTGAGCCAGTGCTGTAAAAACTTCTTGAGTTTGTACATTGTGATTATCACATGCGGCGAGAACACGGAATTATCCGACCATGATAGAATGGGTATGTCCGTCCCAGATGACTCTGGGACGGACATACTTGAAGACAATATGTATTGAAAATTTTTGCATCTCTCTTACTTCTACACCAATTTTTATCTACTTTTTTAGAAAAACTTTAACAAACTTTTGACATGTCTTATTACAAGTATACATTTTAACATACATTTTATTTCTTTAATATAACAAAACTCTAAAATATCAATTGAAAATAATTATTTAATTCTCAGAATGAAATTAAATCTTTTAATATTTATTTAATATTTTGAAATCGTATTATTTTTAATTTATTTTGAAATAAATTAGGAAGAATATATCAAAATTATATTTATTTTATTTAGTGAATTTTGATATTTAATTTTAAAATTGCATTTAATTTTTAAATTGAAATTTAATATTTTTGAAATATATTCAAAAATTCTATGAAATTTTTTTTTATTATTTGTATTAAAGATAAAACTTAAAGATAAGAGAAAAGTTGAGCTTATATAACATATCTTAAACCAGATCCAATTATATGAATTGAATAAAACAAAAATCAATTTTTAATAATATTTATCAATTATTGTCTATTTATAATTTTAGGCTTTTTCACCTAAATTGATTTTCTTTCTGCTTTTATTTGGTATATTTTACGAAATTTCTGTTTTAATATTATTCAGTTTTAATATCATATTAAAATATCAAATCTAAAATTTCTCATTAAAGAAGAGACTTTAAGCTGTGTCCTCAGTAATAGTTTGATTTTCGCAAATATATAAATAGGAAACATTGTTTACAAATAACAAATAATATTTTTAATTTATTTGTGTTTGAACAAAATAATTAAGTTTTTAATTAACTACTATAAAATTAACAAATCACTAAATTTACAATATATATTTATTTAACAAATCAATAACAATTTTATTATTATTTAATTTGAATGAAATTAGAACAGAAATTTCCATTTCTATATTATAAATAAAAAGCATAATGATATACAAGACCCTCTTTTATTATATGCCTGTTAAAATACCTACTATTATTAGTTGAGAAAAAAAATAATAATTATGTACAAATTAATTTGCCTAAAACATTGAGGAATTATGTAACAAAAAAAAAAAAAAAAACATGAAAATTGTAATATTAAATTATATTGTAATAAATTTAAATTTTTAATGTTAGTCAAATAAATGAAATTGAATAACAAAAAAAAAAAAATATATTATTAAATTAAAATTTACATTTTAAAGATGTGTAAAATCTTCTTCTTCTTAAATGTTATTAAAAATATATTTGTAAATTTATTATGTTTTTCTTTTTGTTTTTTATTTAATTATATATAAAAAATTTATATTATGACCAATGTAAATTTAAATAAAAATTTAAATAATTTTATAAAAAGTATTATAGAACTGATTTCGTTTGTTTTTTATTCTACTACATATATTAAAAATGATACACTATTGAATTGGAATTTTGTTAGAAATTATTAAAAAAAAATAATATATTCATATTTTTAAAATTCACTAATTTTTGTATTACATTAAAAAATTTTGAATTAATGACTATATGTTTAAAAATATAAATTAATAATTAAGATTTTTTTATATATTTTTTGTATAAATTCAAAAAATTACTACTTTAAAATTAATACAAAACACACTAGTACTAAAAAATATAGAAAAAAATTTCCAATAAATTTAAATTAATTAAATTATTCAATATTTCAATTCAAACTAAAAAAAAATTTTTAGTTCACATATTTTTTGTTTTTAAAATTAATAAAAATTTGTAATTAAATCACCAAATTAATTTCTAATATCAATACATTTTAATAATTTTAAATTTTGTAAAATGAATAATTAAAATTTATTTTTAATTGCTGAATACAAACCAATGATTTCAATATGATTTTTAAAATTAAAACATTAAAATCGAGAAATTTACTAATATTAAATTTATTTAAAATTAATTAAATATAAAATATTTTATATTACAATCTACTAGTGTATCATATAAATATTGTAGAATTTCATATGTAAATGGCACAATTATATTCTTAATTTGAAAAAAGAAAAAAAAAATTAAATTAAACTTACAAAAAAAAAAACAAAAGAAATTATAATATGGTATTATAAAACTTACTTAATTGAGAAAAAAAAATTATGTATAAAAATATATTTAAATGAACTTAATTAGTTAAGATTTAAAGAAAAAACAAAAATTAAATGAAAATAATGAGAAACAAAGGTGTGCTGTTAAAAGGAAAATTATTATCAATATTTTTATTTAAATTAATAATATTAATAATTGAAATATTTAATTTTGTTTTTTTTTTTTAAATAAAAACAAAATCTTCTACAGTTCACAATATGAACAATCTATTAATTCAATATCATCATAATGTTAATAAAATTTCAACCATATTGTGATAAGGAATATCTTTGAGTTATGTTTCTAATTTATATTATATTATATAAAACCATGACATCACAGATCTAAATTTATGAAATTTTTTATTTATATTTTTTGTAAATTTTTTAATTATATGCATATTTATATAAAATATTTTATAATTCATTAAGTTTCGTATATTTTAAAATATATCTTTATAATATCAAGATTTAATTAAGTTTTAAAAGAGCGTCTATTGTATTATAAAAGCCATAAAATTAATTAACGCATTTTTTTGTGGGATTGAGGGTTAAGTAAAAAATATTTCCCTCATTCAAACTTAATTAAATGGCTAAACTAGATTCTTACCAAAATGAGCATTAAGCATTATTAAATCAAAATCATCTTAGGTAAATGAAATTTATAATTTTATAAACATTTTAAATATGAAAGCAAAATTGTTAAAAATATTACGTACCAAATTTTCTAACAAATAAAAAAATTTCTTAATATCTTATTTATTAAATATTAAAGAAATTCAAAAGAATTTTCATACCAATTAAAATTTTTAATATAAATTATTTTACATCTAAAATATTTTAATAATATAATTAAATTAGAAATTTTTTAATTCAATACCTGTAATTTATTGGGTCTCTATTTGGAATTTTTTCTCTGCTTTTATTTTAATTTAAAACCTTATTTAATAATTTACTAAAAAAAAGAGTGAAATTATATGATGTCTTCATTTCTAATACATTATTCATTAAAAATTTACACTTTATTTCTTATAATATCTTCAAATTGCTTTCTTTTTTTAATCAAACAACACAATACTTTAGATATCGTAAATTTATTCAAGAAACTATTGCCCTATCTGAATTTTACTTTTTCTTTTAAAAGCTTATCCGAAAATTAAAAAAAAATTCCTATTGCATCAAGAGTAGAAACAGTAATTGAGCTTAGCTTATTGAAAAGTACTTTTATAATCCAAATTCTTTATAAGTTGATTAATAAGTTGATTTTTATAAGTTAATAATTGCAGCAGGGCCCTGATTATTTCGATTGCATTTTTTTTTATTGAATTAAAGAAATATTATTAAAATATTAAAAAATCAAAATTAAATCAAGCTGTTCCACAATTATAGAAATATTGGAATTATGAAGATTTTTAAGAAAGAGACAAAAAAAATGAAAAGATATAATATTTTAAAACCATATTTCAGTCCAGTCAACTACATAAACTTAAATCTCTATATGAAAATGATTTGATCCATGATATTGATGAATTATAACATAAATAAATTATTTCATAAATATTTGACATTAAAATTTTTACAACATCTAAACATAACTGAAAGATTTGACATTTTTATTTAATTTTTATCTATAAACATGCATACATATACATTTATATATGAATAAAAAAAAAAAGTAAAAGTTATAATTAATATTATAATTTATTAAAATATAATAAATGTTATTGTATTATAAATAATTATAATCTATTTAAGTAAAAAAAGAAAACCTCAGTCAAAATTTTTATAGTTTTATTTTATTAATTTAATAAAATATTATTATCATTCTATTTTAAGACATTTATTTTGTACATTATTATTATTTTAGTATATTTTCTAATAATTATTTTATGTGTTATACAAAAGAAAAATAAAATTATTTTAATTAAATTTTTATAATAAAATAATTATTATATTGCACACATTTAATTTATTAAAAATAGAGAACAAAAAAAAAAATAAAATGATAAAAATTTTGTAGTATATAAAAATTATTTATAATTATTAATTATATAAAAAATATTATAAAAAAAAAAAATAATTTTTTATTGTTTAAAATTTAATTAAATATTATGTATATGCATAAAATACACAGAATTAAGAAAATATTAATTAAAAAAAAAAACCCAATTCTAATTATAATGTTTTTATTTTATTTTTTGTTAATAATTCTTTTGTAATTAAATTTAAAAATATTTTATTAGAAAAACTAATTATTTTCTTTTTTGAAATTTTAATTGTACACGTACAGATTTTATATAAAAATAATAGTAATATTAATTAAAATTATAATAGAAAACATTTTTAAAATTAAAATGTGATTTAATTTGAATTTATTATTCATATATAAGTAATTATGTATTAAAAATATATTTACTATATTTATTAAAATAATAGTTGCTTGTTTTTTTTTTTTTTGCTTCATTTTTGTTTACTTTACTTATTTTTTTTTTATGTATACATTTCTTTTCCAATTATTAATTATTAATTTTATTATTAATTATTTTATAAATATATATAAATAAATTATTATAAGTTATTATTTATATAATAATGAAAATTTTTAATTGAATATATAATTTAATAAACAAGCGAGTATTGTCCAATTTTATGTTATATTAAAAATTGGAAAGCAAAGAAAAAAAAAACTAATAAAATATATAAAAAATAATTAAAAAAAAAAACCATAGAAAATAAAAAATAAAATAATTGAAGAAAAAACAAAAATTAAGTAACTAAAACTAAATAAAAAAAAAAAAATAAAATACAGTGAATAAATGAATTAATGAAAAAATGAAAAAAAAAAAATATAATACACAAGATTATGATTAATTATAATTATAATGAGAAAAAAATATGGAAAAATAAAAATAAATAAAATAATAAAATAAATAATGTTAAGTTGAAGCTATTAAACTATTATTATTATAATATAATAATTAAATATATATATATATATATATAATAATTATTATTATTTTATTGATTTTAAATAAGGTATATATATATATATATATATATATATTATAATTTAATAAATTAAATGTAAAGAAAAAAAACATATATATATATACACATATATATATATATATAAATATACATAATATATTTAAATATTAAAAAAAAAAAAACAAAACAGAAAAAAAAATACAAAAATATATATTAATATATAGCAAAATAAAAATAAAAAAAAAAAGAAGAGAAAAAAAAAAAGAAAAAAATTGAAAAAAGAGAAAAAAAAAGAAAAATAAGATAAATAAAATTAATAATTTATTAGAGGAAATCAAAAATTAATTTTTGTTTCATTCAAAATTGAGTTCTTATTCTTATACCAGTAAAAAATTAAGAAGATTGCGAATAAGGGAGCTATATAAATAATAGGAGTATATTTGAGCTATATTTTGAGGTAACAGTGAAAATTAGTAGCATTAAATAGCATTAATAGCGTCAGAGTATCGGAGGTAATCGCTTATATAAATTCACCTCGACAGAGAAAAATTCGACATGAGTTCCTAAAATTTTTAATTATATTTTCTTTAAAATCACATTAAATCATTTATGCCTCCCTAAAAATTATTATTTTTTTTTATAAATAAGTCATGATGAGTTTAATTACATAAAAATTAAGTATCAAACATGGTTTTAGTAATTTTATGGTTTAAAATTATAAATTTTCGGCCTCAAAACCAGTTTTAACTGGAGGACTTTCTGTATTTCTAGAAAGACAGCATTTAACATTATTATATAAATACGTCAACATTTCTAATATTTCTGAATTATTGGCTTTACAAAAAAAAAAAGGCGAGAAATCCTAAATTTCTGCTGGAGAAGCTTTTGACTTTTTGATTGATTAACATTTAGTTAGATATTGATTGAAGCATTCAGAATACAATTAAAAAATTATTTATGTCGTAATCCTTGGAATAAAAATGCTCAACTATACTCAAATATAACAACTTATGTCCTATATATTCTAAGACGCATGGGTAACATATGATGTGAAAGGATATTATTCAATAATATTGTGTTTTCCATTCAATACTTCAAATATTAATATTGATTTTATTTTAAAAATTAATTTAATTTATTTAGATATTGTCCAGTATTTGTTGTATTTTGCATATGGTTGTATAATATGTTTAATAAACTAATTATTGTTAAATACTTTGATTTAATCAGATATATAGCTGTTGCCTTAGACTTCTATATTAATTTTTTTCAGAAACTTTTAAAATAATGAGAATAATGAAGGCATAATTTCAATTTCCAGTTAAATATTAGAGTTCGTTATTGAATTAACAATGGATTTTTGAGAAAATTTTTAAAATTGTTATATCTTAAGCTGGTAAATAGTAAAGGTAACTAATATCTTATTATTGTAATAAATATAGCACCACACACACCATTATAGTATATACGAAAACATAAAAGAAAATATTTGCATAATTTACAATAATAATTATAAATTACAGTAGTGGTCCATATAGATAATTGAGTTGAAAGTGTAATAAATAAAAATTGAATATAATTATTTAGTATAGAGAATACTTTTAAAATCAAAAGTGAAAATAGCGATTAAAATAGTCAAAACAATTCAGTATAGTTTTGTGCAATATTTTTTATAGCACAGAATGTTTAAAGGGATCATCGGTTAATTCTTCATCGGCTTCAATGATCATCGGTTAATTTTAAAGGGTTTGTAAATTTTAATTTGAAATTAGAAAATGCTGCGAAATGAATCTTAAAATTATATTATTTTTTAAGTAATCACTAATTACTACTAACTAATTTGGTAAAGAATCATATGAACGGAGGTAGTCGTCATTGAAGGAAAGTAATAAGTAACAATGGAAACAGTCTTAATAAAATATTTACTGGTTTTTATTTTGATCTTTCTTAAATTATAAACTACCATTTTCAATCTGAAATTTTAATGTACATTCAATTGGACGTACAGTCGTGCAATGAACAGGGGTGACCTTGTTCAATTGAATCACATAGCTACAAATTTACAACAGTTGAAATTATTGAAAATTTTACATTTAGGCACCATCTCAACTCTCACAAACTTTTTTCACTCCTGTTTTCCTCTTCCTCTCAATATTGGCAACACAATTATATACAAATTACGTATAATTTTAGCAAAATCTCAAAAAATTATTAATCACCTAACAAATATTTTATTATACATAAATAACACGATGTTGAACGCAATTTATTTTCACATTAATTTAAATTATTTAAATACGAAATTCAATTAATATTTCAGTACATGATCTTGTCTGTACATATACATACTTCTTACCTCAATATACCTCTATAAATATTTTTGTTTGTATGAATGTGTATAACAGATTCGCAGCCAAATATAATATAGACATAAGTACATGTATAAAATATTTATTTACTTTTAATTTGCAATAATTTTCTTTAAAAATAAAAAAAAAAAATATTTTTTATCATTATTTTTTTTTTTATTAATTTTATTATTCTTTATTATCATCATTTTGATTTTTGAATAAGGAAGAAAATATTCATGATTTATAATTGATATACAAAATAATTATTAAAAATAATTATCAATTTAAAATAGTTGTAAAGTAAATCTGAATCAGTAAAGACTGTACTAAATAAAAAAATGTCGTCGAATCAAAATTTAATAAAATTTTCAACATTAATTATTTTTATAGGAGAATATTCTTTAATAATAAATGGTTTACCACAAAATCGTTATATAAAAAGTTAGTTATTACAATATTGAATTAAATAATAAATTAATTATAAATTATTTAATAAAAATAATTAATAATAAATTTCTAATAAATTTGAGTTCATAAAATACAAGAAATTGGGAAAATTTTATGTAAAATAATCTTATTTTATTTTGGAAGTTGTGGTTACCAATTAGTCATTATAATTAAACTGTGCAAATAAATTTTTGAATTAATTAAATAAAAAGAGAAACTGTAATTAAGAATTTGAATATTTTAAATTTATTTTGTGATTAAATTAAAATAATTAATTTAAATAATCTTGTCATTTAAATAAATTGAATTCTCGTTCATATTTATTAAAATTGAAATATTAACATTATTGTTAATTAATTCCAATATAAGGCTATAATAAACATAAGATCGTTAGTAATTTGATATAGAGACTATTAAATTTTATATAACAATAATGATCAAAATAATACTAAAAAATTAATAATATTCAAAACGATAATAGATATAGTTGATCGTGTCAACTTTGTGATAGCCGTACGAATAAATTATAATTTAAAATGTCGAGGATAATCAACACACAGTTTCATACAATTTCTTGTTAGTGTCTAGTGCTATTTCGTACATATATGATAGTTACCATATAAAACCTAAAATTAAATGAAAATCTAAAAGAGTTACACTGAAAACGGTAGTCAGATCAACAAATTCGTTTATCCAATATTCAGCCTTTTATAGCTTAAATAGTTTTTCAACTATAAAGAAACAACTTATAAAGTTGTATGGAAGCTACCAAATTTTAACATTTTTTATCAAGCATAACCGCCTTAACAATATATTTACTTGTGCAAATTTCCAAAATTATGCAGCTTTTAACGAATATAGCTGCCATTTTACCATATTTGTTTTTGCGATATTTAAGAACTGTAGATTAGACAGTTATTATGATATAGTCAAATTATTTTTTAAGTTTTAGGAGTCAAGCAATTTTAACAACTTTTATCATAATAGTCATGTGGAATTTCAATACTATAGCTTCTATAATTTCTAAGTTGTAGCCAAATAAAATTGTATGGTACCGAATCAGTACCTCGATCATACTCAATTTAAAAAGAGTTCTGGTATTTACTATAATAAATCATTTATGTGAAAATTTGGTGAACTTAGCTCAATTAGTTTTTTAGTTATCATTGGAATTGACGAACAGATGGAGGGAAGTTTCAAATTGCATTACTGTTCATTTAAGATTTTTGGAATAAATTAAAAATTAAAAATTTCCCAATAATGTTTCCTCCTTTCGAAAAATTAAATAATTTAATTAACTTTAATCCTTATTAAATCAATAATATATGGAATAAAGTAAAATTCATATTACAAGGAGTTATCGAAAAAATAATGATACCGATAATTTTGATTTAATAGAGTTTTTAATTACAATTTACTTAAAAATTTTCTGTAGTTTCTCATGTCATGCCATAAATTTTCTGTAGTTTCTCATGCCATGCCATAAATAAAGCTATTATACGCTTTTATCTCGAAAACAATCATTTTTTCTTCAACAGTATACCAAAACTTATTTACTTATTTACTTTATTTATTAACTACCTTTTAAAATGTACACGAAAACATTCTCTCTTACATATTTCCATAACGCAATTATTTTACATTCAATTAATATGTAAATTGAGCCTACATATAAGTCTACATTATGTACATATACGCTCCAAAACTCTAAACTCTCAGTATAGATGAGCTTTTCCCATTAATTTTTTTAATATTAAAATTGAACTTAAAAATTTACTTTCTAGATTTCATTGATGATCAAGGTCAAATAAAATATTAAAATGCTGAATGTTAAAATAAAAATAAATTGTATACGAAATAAATTGATAAGAGAGTTTACTATACTCGTGTGTCAGTTAGGATCAAAAAAATAACAATTTTTTTCATTCAATAATGAGTTTTTTTTTGTTATTCTATTTAAATAAATTTATTTATTTATTTAATAAATTGTGCATAATTCAAACGGTAATTGCCCATTTGAATTAAATAGATTTTTAGGGAGCTTTATAATTTCTGCGGAATATTCTGGATTAAATTTTTAATTTATAAAATTTAAGATTTAACAATATATGGAGAGAATGAGATTTATTAAATGAGATGCACGTTGAAATTATTAAATGAGTAAAAATGCAAGTACAATAAATGAGTAAAAATTAGAGCGGATTATCGTATCGTATACAGGGTGATTCAGAAAGGTATACAACAACATATACCTTTGTTTAGAGGATCGAAAATGGGTAAAACTTTTGTTCACTTCAAGCCCTGTCCTAGCCCTTTTAGAAACGGTTCATTGGAAGCCCCTTTTTTTTTCGGAACGGAAGTAATATAATCAAAAAAGCTTGGATAAGTAGAAATTTCGTGAAAATTCGTTAAAATCCCTGTATCTCGGAAACCTTTGAGATTTCGCACCTAGTTCTTAACAAAAATTTTATCCATTTTCGACCCTCTAACCTATGGTGTATGTTATTGTATACCCTGTATATAGAAAAATGAGCGAATTATCGTATAAACGTGATCAGATCAACAAACGGCGTTAAATATTTTTCATTCTGATTTTTGGAATTTCAAATTAAATGCTAACGCTTATATTATCAGAGCTTTAGACGCGCAATGTTGTTTAAATTTCAATCAATTATATTAAATACAAAATATTTATTACGTATGTGTAACAAGGAAAATTTTCAGTTTGGGTTGGAATCTAGATTGGAATAGAATTTATGCCGTTTTAAAGTTTTTGTTGATTTTACACGAATTTCTTATTAAAATTCATGGGTATCTAAATTATTTATACTCAAAATGATGTACTCAATATTAAATACCCTCTAATATATTGAGTGAAAAAATAATGACCAGTATTACGATTAACATAGGAATAATTGATCAGTTTACAGGGGGAGGGTAACGTTTTTCGCATGAAGGGCTGTTTTCAAAAAAAATTTTTTTTTTAAATGACTGCAAATTCAAATGTAACATAAATAATACATTTGTAATATTATCATAAACGAGATTGAGTTGTAGTTATTGCGATTGTGTATCATGTCGTAGTGGCTACAGAAATTAAATCCCTTAAACACCTTTACAGATTTTTTGCAAAACAAGGATAATGCGTTATTGTAATTTTCAATAAAAAAATACTCAAAAGTCCACGAATTCGCGGTTTTCTTCATTAAATTCTTTGGTATTTTATTAATTTCTCCTATATATGAAAAAATATTAAATAATTTCCGAATAAATTAAAAATAACACGTATATATTTCTTATTTTACCTATTTGCAGCGAAACGTCTTTAGATTATCAATTTGAATGTATATTTATACGCAAAATACATATTTGAACATACAATAGCAAACTGGCGAAATGAAAAACCGTAACATTTTCTAAGTGTACCGTCTTATATATACTGGGAAATGGGGACTAAATCTGAGCTATATTAATAGGCCTCTTCTGTTCACCTTCTAGCGTGTATTTTTGTGCTATTGTTAAAAGCCACATTTTGACTTACATTCTTAAAATTATATTGAAATTTTAACGAACATCGTTACGAATTCCAGACCACTGTATATTGCAATATACAATTATAGTTATAATTATAATAATAAATATAATAATATTTGCTTAAAAGCAGAATAATTTTCTTTTAAAATTTTTTACACTTTCCCGGTATCTAGATAAATTATTATATTAGATTAGATTAGAATAGATTTGTAGAATAGCAGGGGTCAACCTTAGACCAGATTACTGCAGCCTTACATACTTATTGTAACATACAATCATTTATAAATCGTCACCTATAATCCTCACAAGAGTTACTAATCACCTTATAGAATATACACATGTCGAAGCTTTTGTATTACCGCCATAATGCTTCCATTATGCAATACAACCAGTTACAAGTGAAACAATTGCCTCCTGACCAATACTTAATGGCATTGCAAAAGCATTGAATATGATCAACCGCTTAATCTTCATATCATGGGAAAAACTACACAAACCGTCGCTAGAATGTCCGAAAATTGAGACATTGGAACAAATTTTTGAAAGTGATAACCCAGTCTGCGTCTTAGGCCCGACAAAAGCTACCTTCGCTTCAGACTTTGATTATGTTGATCATTCGGATATATATAGCGGACGATATTCCGCTATACATCCGGATAATTTTGTTAATCTAAAATTGTGTTTATATAATTACAAATTTAAAAATTAATTGTCAAATTGGTGTGCGTAATAATGAATTATTTTTTTTTTTTAATTTTATTTTTTAGCAATAGAATTAGAACCAATATGTACTGATAATGAAACTGGAAGAAAACTTTTAGTTGGTGAATCATTGAATCGACATGATAAATGTACAAGAATTCAATGTATTGGTGATGAAAATTTATGGCAATATGAGTAAGTTGATTCCATAACTGAAAACAAAAAATATTATTAAGTTTGTAATATTGTAATTTTATATTGAAAAATAATTATTCTTATATTATTTTAGATGTAATGTACCAAGTTTAAATGGTGATTGTGAACCAATTGATGGACCAAAACCAAATGGTGTATATCCTGATTGTTGTCCAAAATATCTTTGTATAAAAAAACTTTCTGGTGATAATTATGTTGAAAAAACAATTTATGATCATTATGGTAATTTATTAAAGAAAACAACAACACAAATAATATCAGTTATTAATGTTATCAGTCGAACAAATACAACAAAATTAACAAATGATGCTGTACGTTGATTACAGAACTTATGAATTAAAATAATTTTATTACGATATGGAAGTAAATTTGTTTAAGAGAGAAAGAGAAAAACTAATGAAATGTATATGTAAATTTTAAGTATAATTTAATTTTAGAATTAGTAAAAGAAAATTAAAATAATTAAGTATGTTGTATAATTTTTGCAGAATTTATGGGTTAAGAAGAAATTGGAATTTTAAATGGGAATTTAGAAATATTTCCCCCTGTCAGCAAACAATTTTTTAAATATTTTAAGCACGATCTTTTCGATGATAAAGCATTGGCTGATTTTTATGGCAGAAATTGTTTACAGAATTAATTGTTGACTGTTAATTTAATTAATTTCACTGACGTGTCAATATTTTCACTTTAAATCTCTCAATTTTCAGAGAATTTTCTCTTGAAATTTAAATTGTTATAAAGCATTATATAAAGCAGTATATGCTTACGTCTACTGCAGTATTACTGAAAATATATAATATGGAAAAGTTTTTAGAATTTATGTATAAAAGCCAAAATTCTTACAATGTTATGGGATTTTTTAAGCTAAATTTTAAGAGTAATTCTCTCATTTTTCTCATTTTAAAGGAAAATCGTTTTGTTACCATAATAATATTATAAAGGAGAAGAGAGAAAACTCTCTACGGCTGATACCATTTGATTATGCTTAAAGACATTACATGGCATATTACTTTTATTCCAAAACCATTTTCAGTACCATTTTCGTTATTTACAAAAAGGGTCATTGCTACTTTATTTCAAGAAATGGTTTTACAATATAATTGCTCATAAAAGTGATATAAATAAAAGTGAATAAGAAATGATTAGCTAATTAATGGTTAAAACAATTCTTATACATTTAATGATTCTTTTATAATTACATACTTTTAGGCTAGAAAATAATTGAATAAATAGTTCGATATATTCTATACCTACTTAAAATGGAATAGATTAAAATGTCCTTAAAATATATATCATTTGAAAAAAATACCTATAGCTGCCACTCAAGTCACGAAAAAAAGGATATACATAATATTGCCATTCTATTAAAATCAAATTAGAAATTAGAAAACCGAAAAATTTGATATTACAACGTTTTAATCAATATTACAGCGTCATCTAGTGCAAAAATATCATCAATTAAAAAAATTTACATATTTATTGGCTGCTTGAATTGCAATTAATTCGAACAGCCTCAAAATATGTAAATTTTTTTATTTATTGTCATGTTGAATATTTTTTTACTGTACAACACTACTAAATACAATAATTGGAGCAATGAAAAATCTTGTTATCATAATCAAAACAAAATGACTATAAAGAAAAAAGGCGGGAGAAATGTACGATAATATTTTTAATTATTTCATAAGTGTATAATTATAATATTATAATATAAAAAATTTTAAATTTCAGAATTTTGTTTGATATTGTACTTTCGTCACCCAAACAAATTCATTAAGTAAATTTGCTTTTTTTTCAGAATGACGATTTTTATTTACAAATATCTTAATCCAGTTTAAGTCTAGTCTAAATTGGAATGTAATTTTTCCTGATTTCAAAATTGCTTAAATTAATAAACGATCCAGAAATTTCTAACTCATATAGCTGGTTGAACTATTGTACGTTATTATACGGTATTGATGCGCAATTATGAATTGAAGGGTTATTTTAAATACTAAATTTGTTATATAATTTTTTTAATTTAAATTCTAAATTTCAGGTCTGGTAATTTTTCATATATTGGAATAGAAATTTGCATAAGTGAACCCATGATATCATTCATCTAAATAAACAATTAAATATAAAAGGTAAAAGACTTAAAGTCGCAAGAAATGCGAAATTACTGATCTCTGTAATATCACAATTTTTATTGATTGTTAAGTGAAGATAATTGTCAGAGTTCACGATTTAATAATCAAATTTAAATTTTGAAAAGTACATACTTAATATAATTTTCATATAGTAGGTGTTAAGTTTGTCTACTGAACTTAAGTGTTTTATTATATTATAATATTTGTATATAAAGACGACCCCCTACCGACATACTTTTTTATAATCATTAAATTATTTTCTTCTTATCTAATCGCAAGAAAATACTTAAACGTACTTTCCCTTCTTTTTTTTACACTTAGTAATTTCTTATGGTTTTTTTAATTATTACTTAATAATATAGCAAAAATATTATTGATATTAGCATAAATATTATACTTAATTATATTAACCATTTGAACCAATGTTGAAAATTATATAATTTCGAAATTCCAAATTCGAAGGAATATTTGACGAAATTCGAAGTTTTTTTTTTTTTGAACTCATATTGTAAATAAGATGATTTTTTGAATGGGGAACTAGAAATAAAATTGCATTTTAGAAAATAGAATATTTTAGTTTTATTTTACATATTTTCTTTGATATCTTACAATACACAGTAATTTACAGAAAATATAAAATTTTAAAATCCTTAATCCTTTAATATTAAATTTTAACAAAATTTTTACACAATCATTTTTCATCTTGAATTTTTCGTATCCAATCTATAAATGCTGATACTCTTACAAATACTGATGGTGAATTTGGTTGACCGCATGGTATTTTACCCCATGATACAATACCAATTATTTTATTATTTTGTACTAATGGACCACCAGAATCACCTTGTGTAACACCTTTACCACCAATTAATGGACCAGTACATAAATTTGTTTTATGTAATTTATAACTAAAATAACCAATTGCTATTTTTGATATTTCATTATTAATAATTGGTAAATTAACATATTGTAATTTTCCGGGAAATATTGGTATATTTGTTTCTGATATACTACCCCATCCATATAAATTAGCATTACCAATTGGTATACTATCAATTTTTGGTAATTCAATTGATTTTATATTTGAATTAAATATAAATTTCTCTTTTGTATATATTAATGCAATATCATATGGATTTATTCCACCATTATATAAATCATGATTTTTATAATAATCAATTTTACGTATTTGTATTCCATTTTCTTCAATATCAAGATTATGGGCACCAGCAACCAATATTAATTTTTTTACTTGATTTTCTGATTTTAAACAATGGGCAGCTTTATATAGAAATAGAAAATAAAAATATTAATTAATAAAAATTTTATTTTAAAAATTAATTTTTTTTAATTTAAATTATTTTTATAAAATTAATAATTACCTGTTAATACCCAATGTTCATTTATTATAACACCCCCACATAAATGTAATGCATTTTTTCCATTAGATTGTTTTTCTTGAATAGAAACAATGTAGGGGGCGTTATAACATTTTGCTTCTTTACCACCGAAAACTATTGTTATAAATCCAATAAAATTTTAATGTATAAATGAAGTAATTATTATAGTTCTGAAATATTCAAATAAGAAAAAATATTAAAATAATTATTTTATTAAATTTTTTTTCTGGTAATTCTATAAAATTTTAAATACACTACAATAATAATTTTAATGCTGTATTAATTTTTTATCACACCGTGTAGCTGGTGGTTTGAAAATAAATTTAAAAAATTTAATTTAAATCTAATTTTAAAATCAATTTTAAAAACAATTTTGAAGAATTTGTGGCTTTATTAAACAAGAAAAAATATTAAAAATTTTCTTCTCTAGGAATCTATATTAGAATAGTTTCCACTTTGTTTAAAATAAATTTTTGATTTAAATTTTCACAAGCAAAACATCAAACTGCATAACCACAAATTGAGAATTGAAATCTTTTGAATTTTTGAAGTTGCAGTTTTAAATAATATGCAGGTTCTCTTTGAAGCAACAAATTCGCGCTACAAATTTTTTATTTTCAGTTTTTAGAATTCCAAAATGGTTTTAGAATAATTTTATTAATTTTATCCAATTGCAAGTAATGCAATTATATTAAAAATTACGATATTATACGGTATTTCAAAATTATCAAATTTTTTTCTCTTTTATAATTACTCAAAATACTCACCAGGGCATATTGTTTATGCTTTTTAAAACCATATATGGTTTTTTGCTTTATCAATTATTTTAATTCTTTTCCTTTGCTTTCTCAAATATTATTATTCTCGTATAGTCGCTTTTATATTAATTTTTATACTCGCGCGTTCGCTTACTCTACCGGTCTATTATGAAATGAAACAATAGTTTAGAATTAATATTGTTTTAATAGAATTTTACAAGAATACAAATACTTTGAAATGATAAGACGATAAGATAAATAATTAAGATTTTGATAAGAAATTATTATAATAATTAAATGTGTATGTGTAAAATTAGAATATATATATACAATATTATGTTAACATAAGAACAATATTTAGATTATGTACTTATTTGGATTGTAAGACAAAAAAAGATGAACAAAAATTTTTTCAATTGTGAAATTGTAATATAAAAATATTGAATTGCGTGTATTCTTTGAATGAAATCGCCGTAGATTATATAGAATAACTTGATTTAACCGAAAAAAAAATTAATTGCAGCGAAAATATTAAAAGGTAGGCAAAAGTAAATGATTTTGGAAAGTTTTTCGGGCGACTCGGAGTTCTCTATAATAAGTATTTTTGATGGCGTACGTGCGTGTCCTTCAATATTGTTTGTAAATAAAAATACAAACAATGGCTAGATTTTATTATATTAAATCTGTTTAAAAATTTTAGACGGAATATTTAAATTTTTGTTAATATACAAATTATAAACGTACATATATGGCTTATATACAGTCAATAATTAATGTATAATTTAGATCTATGTCTACATAAATGAAGTGGGATTGTTATTACGGAAATTTTTTGAACAGGAACAAAAATATAGTACAGTAAAATCAGAAAGAAAGAATTAATTTTTCTATTAGCAAAATATGCCAGTAAATAATTGGAAATGTTTTGAATTAAAATAATCTAATAGTGAAGCGTTATTAGAATGATCTACAAAATTAGTTTGGATTTTCATAAAAGATCAGTTAATATTGTTAACGGAGGCAATAACACTTTTGTTATTGTTAATTGAATTTAGAATCCGAAAATTATGATAGTATAAAAATTTTCGTCATATTTTCAATTAATTTATCCTGTTAGTGTCAAATGCATTAGAATAATAACAGATTTTTGGAATTACGAAAATTTTTAAAAAAAGTGTTACGCCGAACCTCTGAATACTGTTGGATTAAAGTTGTTTCGGTGAGAGGGAAGTCTTTATTATTGAAATTGTTTTGTCGACCTTTTGATAATTTGAATTCCTTTTGAACTTTGCAAATCCAACCAATTTTATGAATTTTATTTTCTATTTTTTTTAATGCAACCGAAGCCTTCATCTCTTTATGTGAAAAATTTTTTCATATAATCGACTTATAATCGATACAGGTTTTAAAAATCATTGAAAGACAAAATTTATCAATAGTGGAGGACTTTAATCTAAACTAAAACGTACCTGAATGGTCATAAACTCCTAAAACTAGTCAAACTGTCACCTCGACATTTACATGCTGTTCTAAATGTGCCATGGCAGAGTCCCTGATTTCCTCATTTACTTGGACGACTCCCAGATCTGTATGAATTTCACTATTCCGCACATACCAGAGAACACCCACCATATCAAGAAGGACCTTATTCTAGAAAGTTTGTATTTGCTTGGCACAAACCCTAAAGCTGCAAGCCATACGTTCATATAGGCTTTATCATTTTGAGTATATATCAACAGCTTATTGTATGTTAGCAATCTAGATCTATGACCTAGATCTAGGAGCCATCAATAGTTTTCTTTATATTTGTTTTCTATTCTTTTCTTCTTTAGATGTTCTTTCAATCTGAGCTTGACATCCATCTAGGTATTTCACTCTATTTTGAATTTATACTATTGCGGTAACTATTGAAATATTTCCGTATCGTCGGTAAAAGTAGACACAGTAAGTGGAATGAGTGAAAATTTCATACCTTATAATTCCAACTTTTTAAATTCAACTCCATTTCATGTTACAAATGACAATTGTTTTAAATACGTAATTCTATTAAGGTATTTGAAATCCTTCGAAGGATATTTTTCATTAACCTATGTATGTACATAAATGATAAAAATATTCAAATACCGCTAGAAATAGAAAAAACAAGATTTATATAATTAAATCAACTTTTAATTAAAAAAACTAAAAGAAAATTATAAAGTTTAATTATGTTTTGTAAAAAAAAATTCCAAACCAAATTTATTTTTATATGTTTAAGTATATCTACATCATTATAATATACATATGTATGTATGTAGGTACATAATATAATTATATATTATTCTTTTAAAATGAATTTGTAGTAGTAGTGTTCAGCACATAGCCATAGTAATAGTATTAAAAGTATATAAGAAAATAATACACAAGTATTCTATATTTTTATATAATTCGTTTATAGCCTCCTAAACTATTTCTCTCTATAAAAACTAGAGCTTTCAAGGCAATCTAAAAAAAATCTTAATATTTTGTACAAATTAACAAGTCTTTTTGTATTTCTATTAAGTTTACAGGACCTATATATAATTTAATAGAGTAGAAACATTTGTCTTCTGTTGACGAGTGTGAGAAATGTGAAGATGAGTAAGGGAATCCAAGTTTTTAAGTTTTTTTCTTCTTCTATTGAATCGTGTAGCATATTTTATAGTGATTGCTTTATTGAATTCTGCATTCTACTACCATATTCGATAATCAAAACGATGTGTCCTGATAATTACTATTACAACAGCAATGACTTCCCATTGGTTGAAGGGGTATTATAGATAACTTGTACCATGCAATTCTAACTTCGATTATAAATGTCTTATGTAGTATGTACACACTGCTTACACCGCCTACATACCTACTGATTGCCGCATTCCATAAAACAATTAGACCAAGGTTTAATAGTGACTTTAGAATATTTTTTTTGAAAGGTGGTTAAAAAATAAAAAAAATGCATTGAAAATTTTTGTTGTGAAATTTTAAAAAAACCAAAATTTTGAAATTGATTTCTAATACTCAAAAATCTAACACTTAAGGTCACAAAATTGTTAATAATATTCTTGGTTAAAAAAATTTTAGTAGTGCATATACATGCTATGTGCATATACACGGTGATTCGCCAAGAAGTTAGGAGCCGTATACCATGGTCGAAATTCGCCATCAAAATAGGAGGCTCTACATTGGTCGAAAATGTATTAAATCGGAACTGTTTCCCACCTACGGGGATTTTAAGAAAATTGATTTAAAAATTTTCGAAAGGCTTTTAAAACTTTGTTCCGAACAAAAATTTTACCCATTTTCGTCCCTTTACCCGGTGATATATTATTCCTAACTAGTTTCTGAATCACCTAATCGTTTTTTCTGAAACAAATAGATTTTAAAATATCTTAAAGAGTGCTTTAAATAATGAACAGCGAGTTATTTGGTATCACATATTTTTTTCGGAAATACAAGCAGTTTTAGGAAAATTCCAATTTTCGTCATCTTTTATTTTTTTACTTTTTTTTTCCCAACAAAATTTCTCATGAATTTTTTTGAAACTTCCAAAAATTCTCTTTACAGAATTTTATACAGCTGCTTAAATTTTACTTGTACTTAAAAAAAATTGATCTTTTCGGTAATGGCTGAATTCTGATTACATACAAATTTTTAAATAGATCATTTATTAACCATATTAAGCTGATGGAAATTTAATAAATTTATAATGGTCATATATAAAAATTCATTAGAAAAATTTCCCTTTTAAATTATTTTCCTGCTTAGTTCTTTAATATTAGAATGCATAGCATTTCTTAAGATTACAAATTCTTAATTTGATTGATCGTCTGAATTCTTTTCAATAGCAAAATTTCATTATATAAGAAAAAGTTATGTGTAGAAATAAAAATCAAAGTATTCTAATTATATTTAAAGCCAAAAAGGTCTTTTTATTTTATTTAACATTCTTAATTAAAGTTTTAACAAATCATATTGTATAGAAGCAAGGCTATTTAATAATTTAATGAATAATCAAAACATTTTTATTGAAAAGAGTACACGTACGTACATATGTAATTAGATTGTAATCCTATATTTTTTCTTTCCTTCTTTTGCCCTCAATATTAAATTATTGTAGATTCTTATATTTCATTGTGTATAATATACTTTAATTATAATTTACAAATCAAATACATATTATATAAGTATAAATAATTTCTACATCTATACTACATTCATATTAAACATACAATATGTGTGCATACATGTGTTCCTGAAATATACAGGGTGGTTCAGCAACAAGTTAGGAGCCATATAACACCGAGTAGAAGCTATATATCACCGAAAATGAATAAAATTTTTGTTCGGAATATAGTTTTAAATCGGAACCGTTTTCGAGCTGCAGGAATTTTCAGAAAATTTGACTAAATTTTAAACATACCTAAGTTTTTTTTGCTTGTAGCTGCCATTTCAGAAAAAATAGAAGCTTCAACCAAACAGTTTATGAAAGGCTTTTAATACTTTGTTTCGAACAAAAATTTTACCCATTTTTGACCCTCTACCCGGTGATATATGGCTCCTAACTTGTTGCTGAATCACACTGTATATACGTTCATATTATATAAATATTAGATTAGATTGATGAAGAAGAAGAGTATGAAATTACCAAAGTATATTTTGAAGGACTTTTTTTTTTTTTTTGATTATATTGCACGCAATACAATAATAATAATTCGAACGATTCCAATAATATTCAATTATTCATTTTTCCTTTCGAATTACTTTCAGTTCAATAAGTCAGCATACCCACATACATATTTGTTTGATTGTGTGTGTGTGTGTGCGTAATGTCATTTTTAATAAGTATTATATAAACTATATTGGAAAATCTATTTATAGAACAAAAAAAAAAATTTTTTTTTTAATAATAGAAAAATAATAAAAATTCTTCTTTCATTACTCAAAAAAAAAAAACAAGAAAAAAAACAAGAAAACAAAAATAATACTCAACAAGTTACTAAAGCCAGCTAAAACGTTTATGAAATTGTATGTATACGGTACGGTATGTACATATGTTGACTTGTTTTTCAAAAAATGAAAAAAAAATATCAAATTGAAAAGAAATTTCAAATAGCTCCTCGTAAAACCATTTTGTTTTTTTTTATAATTAAAAATGTACTGATTGTGTTCGTATGTCTGTCGATTTAAGTGCCTCCTAACAGAAGTCTTAGATTAAATTCGCATTTGCAATTCTAATAAAAGATTTGCAATGGCAGCACATTTCTTGTAATTTGCTGTATAGAGCATACCATTTTTGTTGATAGAGCTGCAAAAGATCTTCTTCTGACAAAATTACAGCATAAAATTAATTTCTGCTTTTATATTTAAAATCTCAATTTATAGAGAAGTCATTATTAAGAGGATAAAGAGGCAGTATTTAGATTACTGCAGGACAGTTTTAACTAATAAGATCTCTCGCAGTCAGAATTGCAAACGCGAATTCAATCTTATTTAAAATGGCATCCTTTAAGTAAAAAATCTATGAAATTTTATATGCAAATGAACCTTCATATTCAGCAGTCATATGTGTGCAACATTATATTATGCAAAATACTGTACAGTTGATTTTACCATTCCGCTGTTGATCTGGGTAAACAACGAAAATAGTCCACTTTTGGTGCTCACCATTTTGGTTATGTTTTTACAGTAATGCGATTTTTCTCATATTTTTCTGTTATGAGGTCTCGAAATTTCTTGCAATAATGTCCTGTGCCTACACTTAAAGTTTATGGCTACTAATAAGTTGTTTTAAAACTGGGATTTTTCTTTTTAAAAATTATTGTGTCGAATTCTAATATTGCAGGGCTTAAATTTGTTTGCTTTTTCTAAAGCGCAAATTGAAAATAATATATTGATTTCTTATTGTGCTTCGAAATCGTATAAACAAAAATTAGAATGAAAAAGTGCTTGTTGACACTAAATTGTTATTTTAGAAGCCCTCCCAATATATTATATACTCTTCGAACATATTATATAAATATCGGCTTCTTCACTGTAAGGTTTAGCTCTGTAAGATTTTTTCTTGGAGTAAATAATATTAATATCATTAGAAGAACATGTTTAGTTCCTGTTCAAAGTTATGGTCTATTAAAATTTGCAAAAATTTTATTCTGAGGTGGCTTGTCTCCCAAAAGTATGCAATAATTATTATAATATGTTATACATAGATAGTAACAGAATAGTGTTGATATTTAAACGAATATAATTTTTTCACTTAACTTAAAATGTGCTTTTTTTTAAACAATTAGTTTGTTCCTAATTTATTTGTACAAATTTCAATTTGACTCATTGTAAAACAATATACTCATTTTAGGCAAGGCATACCCGAAGAATTTTATAAGCGACAATATGTTTTTTTTTTTTGTTTTTTAATTTCATACTATAAAATACACGCAGTCATAATATTCTAGAATACTTTACAAATTAATTTGAATCATAATAAAGAGAGATAACACGTGTATCGTAAAAAATATTTTTTATAATCGTAAAGTAGAGGGCATACACATATAGTTTTATGGTATTACTAACGCCATATCATAGTTATTATCGTATTTTATGAGAAATCCCCGCTGGTATATGAGTTATTACTTATATAAATGTGCTTATATACTCCTATTATATATTATTGCCATTGTATCGTATAACGCTCCTATCTATAAAATTTTTTTTTTCTATAATTATAATGTTATCAGATCAATATAAAATTTTTAACCTAAATAAAATTATTTTATTATACCCATTTTTGGTATATAATTGAACTTGTACTCGTAATCTTTTAAAATGAGCTCTCTATAGAATATGCTTTATTAGAAATTATACGACACTTAATAATTTCACAATAAAAATGTTGTCTATGTACATACAATATGTACATAAATTCATTATAGAATAATAAATTATATAAAAATATTAATATAATAGAAAATGGGGGCTTGTTTTTGAAATTACGAGTAGCTTCTCACATACAATTAAACGATTTTTAAGTAAAGTGGAGTAATTGTAACTGTTTAAAGGAAATCAGAGGGTTCTGTAACTATTAAACTTAATCTTACTAATATCGTAACTGGTAAAGAATATGACCATATTGCACCAAATATTTTTTGCTTTTTTTAATCAAATAATCAAAAAATTTCCAAAATTTCTGTTGCAGTAAGAGTTAAAGAACTATGAATTATATTAATAAAAAGCATACATTTTTAAAAAGTGAAAAGGTAAAAGTGATGGATTCAATGGTGTCCTGATTCTTGCAAGCTGTAATTATGGTTTAGAGAGTATAAATTAATGCCAGATCAGGTTACCTTAATATAAAACCTGTAATTTCTATTTTATTACATTAAATAACGATTTAAGGGAGCTGATTACATTTGGCATTACTTGGGTACTGATTACTGAACCAGTAAAATTTGTATTATTAAATACAATGTACAAAATGTACGCTGAACGATATTAATTGTTGGGCAACATTTAGCATTTTATTTATTTTTTGTTATCAGCAATCATGAACTTTAAATTATGCGTGAAACTAAGGTCTATTAACTCGATGTTGAGTAATCAGTTACACATAAGCTGGGCGATAATGAGTTATAAGACCTAAAAATTGGTATTTAAATATTTTTTTTTAATGAAAATGAACAAAAATCAAGCGTTACCTTTACTTTTCTCGATAATGTTATCGTATAGGTAATTAAGATTTATATATGTATAGGAGGTTGTAAAAATTTTTTCACTAATATTATTGATTGTGTCCCTGAACTCTGTTTAGTAATTAAAATTTTGTAGCCAATCTATTTTCGATTACTAATCGGATCTGCAGGATCAAATAGCTTTAAGCTTTGTCAATAGAAAATCCAATACGGCCATTATGTGAAAATAATGTGTGAATAAAACCAATATAATAGGTCAAATAAAAGCAAATTTTGGCAGCTCAAAAGAGTTCGACAAGTTGGCGAAACATATGTTATTTGTACGATAAAAAGTGCCGTCTAATAAGTTATTCAATATTAGATCATAGAAAGGAATACAGAAAATCGCTGAAATGGCATTAATGTGGGGAATACCCTGAGATTTATTCCTTAGTTCTATCAAAAATTCAGAAGAGACGGACTCTTATTCAATTTATGCCTTTTACAATCTATTATGTTGTTATTATTATTATTATAAAAGCACTCAACAGTTAAAACAAAGAGATAAACAACTAATATCTGTGTCGATATCAGTCGAAATTTGGCAAAAATTTCTCTCATATAGCATGCTATTTTCTAAAATTTAGGTAGTTTCCCATATTCATCAGTTTTTTATATAATAAAAATTCATCAAACTTTTACATGTACGTATGTTACGAATAATATTATAAAACAAAGAAATTTTCATTTCAAGGTTATTAAAGGTTATATAAGATTAATTAATATATTATAAGTTTGTTTGGTTGTATTGTTCATTTCACTTGTGTATTATCGAAGGAAATATCTTGATGCTCAAATAATAAAGATTGAGATTGGATAGTATTCGAGATATTGTATAAAATATAAAAAAAAATTATTTTAGGTTTTTTAAGAGAAAAATTCTCTTTTTTTCTTTAAGGTTGCTAATTTAAAATGGACCCAATGATTTTAGACAGTATTAATTATCTATATATACACATACATATATATTTTCATTATTAACGCTGAAGATAACACGATTTTATAAAGGTGATTTTAAAATTTTTCATTCTTATTTTTTACCTTATTTTTCTGAAAAGCGAAATTCATTCAAGGTCATTAATTTATTATAAATTATTAAAGGTATTGTATTCTAAGATCCTTTTTTGTATCCAATTAGTTAAGAGAAAAAAATCTTTTCAAAAATATTTTGATGTACTTTAATTATTAAGATTTATGTACATATAATATATTGTACAAGGATAATAAGAAAATGATCTCCATACGACCTTGATCTATACCTACAAATGTTTATTATATTTGAAAGGTGAAAATTCCATTGCTACATTTAAATTATAAGGATGAGTTAAGGCAATTATTTTGTAACAAAAATTTAATTTTCAATGTCTTAATATTAATGTGCATATAAGATCATAGGCAGGGTCTTATTGAAGGAATCGTCTTACAATAATAATTTAAGATTTGTTAATTTGTTTGATTAAATGTCAGCTTCAATTACAAATTTGAACTGTTTGATTACATTTTGTATGAAAGAGAATATTGAAAATTCATTTAGAAACTACTCGAATTTTCATTAAGAAAGAACAATTCATACTCAACAAAATAAAACTCAAAAAATGGACACGCGAATATAATCGTATAGCAAAAATTTTACAAACGAATTGAACTCATAGTTGTTCTTGAGAATAGTAACTGAACACTAAAGCCTACCTTCTACTATTATAGCTGCCATTTTATAACGTGGAGTGCGATGTATCGTCATAATTGCAATATAAGACGCCTATTTCATCTGAAATAGGTTCACTAGCGACTATTGATATTCTCCCTGAAAGTACACCTTAAAAATAAGAAAATGGTTCGGTTGACTTGCTTTTAGTTATCGTATGGACATAAAAATTCCAGATTAAAGTTCCTGATTAGTTTTGTATAGTTAATCGTCTGACAGGATTTTTATTTTTCCCACTTATCTTGATCCGAAGAAATCATTGTGTTTTGTGAACAAGCCTTGCAACGTTAAATCTACTTTAACGTAAGTAAACTTAATCGTCTAATGCAATAGCCAACCGGCAAATGAATCATTATACAAAATATTTTTATTGTGTTCACATTCAGATTAAAGCTGATTAAAATTATTATTCTAAGTAAAAAAAAATTGTTTTTATCACTTGCAGTTATTTAATTATTTAGGAATTTTTGCTATCTGAGCCCAGTACAAGTGAGGTGTCGCACTTCTAATGCTTGTATAATTAATGCCTATTAGATATGAGAGCATTTTTGTGCCGCGCTATAATTCAATTTTGTCATTGTTTACATACCCAGGGGAAATATTTACTATTTTGAACTTTAACCTTAATTTATGATTCAGTTACATAAAAATATTTTTTACTTTCATTTCCAATTTAAAGCGGTTCATTAAAAATTTTCCATTGTCTCTTAAAAATTTTAATAAAAAAATTTTTTTGAGTCATTTTTTTTATAGTATATGAGCCATAAATAATTTAAGGAGACTTATAAGAAAGTCGCTATAAACTTATTGATTACTTTATTCAAATGAAGTCTATAATAGCTAGAAAATGATCGAAAGTGTGCTTTACCTGTTAAAAATTTAAAATTCATACTAACATTTATTATTGTTATAGTCTTTCTCTTATCTCATTACCAATTAAATTTGTTATCACAAAAAATTTTTTATTGAATGCCAATCAAGCTTAAAATTTATATAAAAGATTTAAGAGAGGGGGGCACTTGATAAAACAATCGAAATTATGATTTAAAGACCTTTATTATTTTCTTTTTATTGGAATTTCACAATACCGGTAAAAACATTCAAAAAATAAAAGAGGGGGATTCTCATTTTATAACGTTACAATTTCAGATTTAGAGTAAACAAATAATAAAATGCAAAATAAGAAGGGACAAATTGGTTCCAATGTAATGGCATAGAAGGTATAGTAGAAATATTTATAAATATCAGAAAATCCCGTTATTTCACAATTTCAATATGTCCGAATCAACCATAATAATTAAGAGCCGTGTATAACAAATTAATATTGTACAGTTTGTATATGGCAAATTAAATTCTTACATTTGAATTTTTGTTGGTCAATTGACTTTCAAAATTTTAATATATTAAAAAATATAAGATTTTTATAGATTATAAAAATTTTATATTTGAGGATAATCCTGGTTATTTGCAGAAGATTTATCACCGAAACCATAAAATTTTTTGAAACGTCATAATTAACAATTGTTCAGAAAAGCCTAATTTTTGCCTGATAATTTTTGCCTGATTTCTGAACAAAGCCACTTTAATAGTGACGAGATACGGTGCAAATAATTTTACGGTCAATCATTTATTTTACATATACAATATAATTTGATCTGTTATTTATAAATAGGACAATTTATTGCCATAACTTCGTAAGAATGTGTGTTTGAGGCTTGACTGGCAGAAGTGTATTAAAAATATCGTACAAAACTGTAAAATAAAATAAAATTTAAAATTTTCTGTAATTAAATCCTAAAAAAACTGATTTTCCGAAAATATTAATCTATATGTTAGGTAAACCAAGAAATACGTTTTGAAAGCTAAGAAAAGAAGCTACTTAAATAAATAAGAAAAAAAAGCAATGTGTTAATAACGGAACTTATTGAATAACAACTGTTGTTTAACAAATTAAATATTAATTTTTTTTTTGTTATAGAAAACTGTTATATTTTCGAAAACGTCTGATGGATATTGCTAAATGAAATGTAACTTTTCCAATTCAAACTTGAATCACGATTGACCTTGATAACTCTACTGGTCCTGCCCTTATCATCATTCAATAATATTTTTGGACAAAAATGATAAAACAAAGATGATTTCTTGCCTCATGATAGGCTATGATGCCAAAAATTATGACAACACTGTCTGAAATCATCTTTTCACAAAAGCGTTTTTTATATTTCTGCATTATGTAGGTTATTTCCCTATTTTTCTGCAAATAAATTTAAATTGTACGATTTTTCATCTGTAAATTTTCTAATTTTCTCAAATATCTGAACTTTCGCTTAACACATGAAATTTTATAAATATATTAGTCATACTAATATTATAAAATTTTATTTAATCAGAAATTCGATATCCCAAAATTCGAATTATAATAAAAATAAATTAAATTTATTATGGTTCGTCATTTTAAAAAAATTTTTGCAAGATTACTAATTTTGTTTTTAATTTTAATAAAATAGCTATACAATAAATTATTATTGATTAATCACATTTACTTATTAATAATTAATAATTTTTATAATTAAATTATAAATTTATTATTGGCGTTAATTAATTAAAGTGCAAACTCATTGGTTTCTTTGTTTGTTTCGAAATAAAATTTCTTACTCACTTATTTTATGAGCCAAAAAATTGCTTCAGTAATTTTCTTAACGTATAGTTAAAGAGTACGATATTTTGAATTTATAATCGATTTTGCTAGTTTTCTTATAATTAGTGTTGAAATTTATTAAATATTTTCGAATTTAATATAACAAAATTGCCGTATCAAGAACATATAAGAAATAAGAGTAAGTATAACATTTATTATTATTTTACATTTATTCAATTATTGAAATATTTAACTATAATAGCCTGTTTAAGGGCCAAATGTTTTAGTATTTTGCTTTCTCCAGCTGGGTATCATTAATGAGAAATGAAAATTAATTTTCCATGCGGTAAAAACAATTGAGAATTTTTGTTTTCCAAATATTTTTTTAAAATAGAGATCTGTCCTTGACTTGTGCTCATATGAACAATATTTACATTACAGAACGGGATACAAATAAGGATTTTAAAATAATTATAATTTTTGTACAGTGATAATATTTTTGTATAATTAAATCACTACTTTTAAAGAGGATATTAAAATAAATAGAAATATTTGAACCGGTTAAATCTCAATTCATTCTCGTTATAACTCGATTATTAGCGATTCTCATTGCGTTATAACTCATTGTTAATAAGAATTCCGATTTAAATTTTTCAATAGTACTTTAAAATTTTTAATAAGCTCGTGTGGGAATTCCTAACCAATAATCCTTAAATGATAAAAATAAAAATACTTACTCATTTTAATTATATAGATTCTCTAAAATTCCCATAATAAATTATAAAAATTTTCATTTCTAATAAAATTTATAATTATTATGAAATTAATTATCTCTCGCCTTATCGCACATACGTAAAATTCCAAAATTCCAACAAATCAACCAAAAAAAGAAGAAGAAAAACAAAAAAAAGCGCAGGGAATTCTTTTCTATTTTAATTTTATATTTATCGCATAATTTAGTTTTCATTATCACATTAGTCATATCTCAATTAATTATTATAATATTTTTATTTTTTATTATAAACGAGTAAAAATTATAGAATTTTTGTTTTGTTTTTTTTTTTTATGGCATTTGTTTTTGAATTTTTTTTATCCAATCTATAAATGCTGATACTCTTACAAATACTGATGGTGAATTTGGTTGACCACATGGTGTTTTACCCCATGATACAATACCAATTATTTTATTATTTTGTACTAATGGTCCACCAGAATCAGCTTGACATATACTTGTACCACCAGTTAATGGTCCCGTACATAAATTTGTTTTATGTAATTTAAAACTTTGACTACCGAGTGCTTTTTTACATGTTTCATTATCAATAATTGGCATTTTAACATGTTGTAATATACCTGGAAATACTGGTGTATTTGTTGCTGATATACTACCCCAACCATATAAATCAGCATTACCAGTTGGCATACTATCACTTTTTGGTAATTCAATTGATTTTATATTTGAATTAAATATAAATTTTTCTTTTGTATATATTAATGCAATATCATATGGATTTATTCCACCATTATATAAATCATGATTTTTATAATAATCAATTTTACGTATTTGTGTACCACTTTCTTCAATATCAATATTATGGGCACCAGCAACTATTATTAATTTTTGTACAAGTGATTTTGATGTTAAACAGTGTGCAGCTGCAAAAAAAAATATAATAATAATAATATTATTCATTGTATTTGAATTTAAGTAAGTTGAAATCAATTTAGTTTCGTATGAATTTCAATTCAATTTCAATTCAATTCAAATTTAAATTTAATTGAATTTCAGATATAATTTCAATATCATTTCAATGCAATTGATACTCGTATTCAATTCACTTTCAATTTCAATTCATTTTTTAACTCCCATTTAATTCAATTTCAATTCTATTTCAATTTAATTCAATTACAATTTCAATTCATTAATAATTTCATATAAATAACAATTTCAATTGAATTTCAATAAAAATTAATTCAATTACAATTTCAATATTACTCCAATACAGTTTTCAACTCACATTTAATTCAATTTTCAATAATAATTTTAATTGTAATTTCAACTCATTAATAATTTCAATTGAATTTCGAATAAATATTAAATATACAAGTTAACAAAATAAATTTACCAGTTAATATCCAATTTTCATTAAGTATAACTCCACCACATAAATGTAATCCTTTTTTACCAGAAGAACTAACCTCCTGTATAGATACAATGTATGGAGCTACATGCGGTTTTGCATTATCACCCCCAAGAACTTTTCCTAAATCTCCGAAAAAATGATGAGATGTTGATACGTCGTTTGATTGTCCATCGTCGGAATCTGATATAACGTAATCAGCGTAAGTTAATTTTTTCAATATAATTAATATTAATAAGAATTTAATGAAAATATTAAACACGTACAGACTCATTATCACAATTATTTAATTGAATAAATTTAATTATTCAAAATATTTCGGTTTTCACAAATTTTTAATACAAATTCTAAATTTACAAAAACAAAATTAATTTAATTTAATTATTTTAATTAATTATAAATTCTAAATAATTTTTTATTATTAGAGTAATTCTTTCGTTTTATTTATTTTTCTTAAATATCGATTAATTTTTAAAATAATACTGAAAATAGCTTCTGTCGCCAACTTCCTTTTATATAATCCCAGAAATTTAATTTATTAACAATAGTCGCTATTGTTATTTGTGATAAGATAATTCTAAAACATTTGATAAGATTTTCTTGTTATTATTGTTTTTTAGATGATTAGATAACCTTAATCTTTAAATGATATAATTTTTGGTACTCGTATTAATTTCTTTGTATGAAAATAATTGTGTAATATATATTGCGTGTATGTGTGTATGACAATATTTTTCTTCGATTACTTTTTTATTGTTATCAAATAAATTTCCTACAATGTAAGAGTTTCTAATTATTGAGCTATACTTTTAGATAGAACGCTGAAATTTTATACACAAATAGATTCTTAATAAAAATTTTTTTCTTTCGAAGAAAACTTTTTTCCATCTCGATTCATTCCCAAATTATTGCCTCTCGAAATTTTTAATATTTGAGTTTTTGGTACTTTTTTCTCCTGAAACTACAAGCTTTTAAAAATTTCTATAACTGTAGAAATATAACGGTAAATGTCATTAAAAATTATTTATCTTAATTGTCGAATTTCATCCATTATTTTAACGCTTCCTTTCATTTTTTCCTTTGTTCATATCCTAATCCTAAATATATGAAATAAATCTATATATTTTTGTAAATGAACAAAAGTAATTTAAAATAATGTCATAGATTGCTTTTAAAAGCAATATATTCAATTGTTCAAGGGAAAAAAACTAATTAACAAATCATTGGTTTGATTCAACTTTATTTAGTTATAAAGATTATCGATATTACAATCAATATTTCACTTATTTTGGAGTTAAAAACAGGTTGTCATTATTTGTATGATTTGCTGTGTTGTCTAAATTCAGAAAATTTGTTATTTTATGTATTAATCCAAAGCGTAATAAGTAAATTTTTTAAAATTGTAAAATTTACGTAATATAGCCTTTATCGAGAATGTTTAATAAAATTTCTTAAAAGATATTTCCAAAATCTTAATCAAACTTGTATTTTGAAATTTCATACATATTATTGCGGCGCTAAAAGAATGAACAAAACTAAAATCACAATATAAAATCACAGAAATTACAAAAAACATGAAGCTTTTTCACATGAAAAAGCTTTGTGGAACTTCAAAATGAAAAGAACAAAATTTCCCATTGTATGCATAGCCCCAGCAAGAAATTCAATTTATTTGCATCAAATGAGGACTTTTTGTATGAGATCAAGAAACAGGCATAATTTCAATTAAATTGATAATTTCCAGAAAATTTTAAAAATGTATATAATTTAAAACCTTTGTGAAACATGATTGAGTACACAATATCCATGACTGTTTTAAATTATAACACCCTGTTAGACTACGAAACACAAAAATATTAAATTTTAAGTTAAAAAAACAATTTCAAATTGTGTTTGATTCAATTTCCAAACATGCTTTTTTTAAAAATTAAATATTTGCTAATGAAAATCTTTTGCATTGTTAACAAGAATTCTTGTGGGACTGCAAATTAATTACGCAACTGTGATCTACATACTAGGATCTAAATTTTTTTTGTTTAGCTAAAAATAATCAAATTATTTTTTTGTATGATAATCAAACATCGACTTTTTAATTTATACTTGTATAAACTTTCACTTTAACGATTTTTTAATTATAGTAAGCATGGTACTGGTATACATATTATACACTTTCACTAATTAAACAATAACTGGTATATGATTTAACAATTATAGTCTAAGATAAGATTTAAAATGCATGAACCAGACAAACAAAAATATTGATATGGTGTATGGTTTGATTTCAATATTATCAAATAATTTGGTTCGTTTGTGCTGTACTCATAATATTCGAATATGAAACTTATACTATATTTGGTTTAAAAATATTGTTCTATAGATATTAAGTATCTACATATTTTGTTTTTAATAAATTTTTTGTATTGCTGTTAATATATTTTAGATAATACAAGTTTGATTCAAGAGTTTATATAGTTGAGGTTTGATTAATTGTATAATCAGTTTTGAATCACTGATTCTTAATATTTTGAATGAATTGATTTCTCTCACAAAAGCCCAATGCCGATTTGTAAATAAGCTAAGCGTAATTTGTTAATAATATATGAGTTACAGAACGTTAAGAGATGTTGAAACGACCAAATGTTGTATATGTGATTCACAATCAAACTTTCATGCACACACTCAATTTATTATATTGAATTTTGTTATATTCAATAATATTTAAAATAGTGTTTTGAATCCAATATCGAATTCCATTAACTCTTCGATACCGCTCAAACGTAAATTATAATTTTAAGTGGCAATACGTCACTCGTGAGAATTCTTTATAACTTCTTCAATGCTATTTTAAAATTTAATTTGATTAAAAAATTTTTAATTTAATTTAGAAAATTTTGATTAAAAAGCAATTTCTTTTCCATATATATGTACATAATAAGATAATATTTAATTTTCAATGAAATTATCAAAAATCGTCACTGGCCAGCTCATATCACGTTTATAACATTTATGAAATCATGTGGTTTTTGATTGTGTATGAGATAATGAAGCGCATACTACTCAAAGTAGAACTTGTAGTTCAAATATCAATGACATTTGAAATTTTCAATCAAATAAATAAATATATATATATATATAAAATTTAATGATTGTAGACAAACTAAATTGAACTTAAGACTTATGAGCGAATATATCTAATCTGAAACTTTAAATGGAAAAAATGTTTTGTATTACTTATCATATTAATTCATAAAATGTCATGAACCTGATTATTTATGTGGAAGTACGCCAATTATTTGTAAAATCTGAATATGCTATTGGTAATTATTTATTTGTATTGTTTGATAAAGGTTATTAGGTTATACAGGAATTTCATAATAATGATCATTTGATTTAATAAATTTATACAAAAAAGTCTGCTTCTAAAGGCCTGATGTATCCCAAAACTTGATCAATTCGTACTATAGCCAATCCAATTTGAAATACACATATGCACACACAGGCCGTCAGACCGACATTTCGCTAAAAATAGTTTATTTAGTCTTTCCTTCCACGGAGAAGTGCATTTCTCCCGAAAACTCGATATCTGAAATTTGATGTGATCACATGATTTCCCTTATTGTATGCAATGCGGTATATAAAAAAACGATAGTTCAGACACTAGAAGGTGCTGTGCATTGAAGGAAATGTGTAAGACATTGAAGGTGCTGTGTGTAATTAGGCTTTCTTTGATGTAATTAGGCATAAGTATTACAGATGACTTATAAACGTCAAAATGATAAATAAGGCAAATTGTTTAAAATGCAAGAGAATTATATACCCTAGAAATGATAAACACATCCGGCGCGATGGGGATTTTAAAAAACTATTTCATGGCACTTGCATTGGTTTAGCTGTTCAAGATTTTGCAATCCTTGAGGCAGATCCAAAGCAATTATAGTTTTGCCCAGACTGCAAGCCAAGGAGAATTAAGAGGATGTCATTTTACCCACACAATTTAATTATTATTGCACTAGATGCACTTTGCATTTTAAATGTAAAAAAAAATTACCAAACGATTAACTTAAATTTTTTGTGGTTTATTGCTGCGGCTCATTTACTATACGTTTATAGATTTAAGACCAATACAAGAAATACAATTAATAACAAAAATGAATAACTTTTAATATTTTAAATTTTTTGTCTCCGTCTTTAATTTTTTTGTTCCATTTTTATGATTTTCATGTCCTCATGACATAAATTTACCAGATGAACTGTAAAAAATTACCTTTTTATAGAAGGTACTTGCATAACTAATAATACCTTAGTATGCATAAATGTGTTCACCATTAAAGACAATATCATTTTTAATTTGTGGTCAATGCCACAATCAAGTTAATTTTATTCAGAGCAAGTTTTCTTATTATAATTTTAATCATAAAAGCAATAATTATTATACATGATGTATGCAATAATTTACAAGGCTTGACATTGATTTTTTAAAAATTTCATAAAATTACAAGTTTTTATATAAAGATTTTCAGTTCATTGGTTGTAGACTATTTCAAAATAATGTTAATGGTTTCAAGTTGTTTATTATGTTTATGGTTGTTGGTCCCATGCATAAATCCATGCTTTAAAAATTCATTATAAGTAGTTAATTGTAATAATTTTATATCCTACTTAAAAGTTATTGGTAATTTTCCTTAACTAGTTTTGATCAGGACTCGACTCGGTACTTATTAATTTTTAAAAAAATAATTATTTGCATAAATTTAGGCTTAAACATAATAAAATAAATTATTGCTCTACAATTATTATGGAACCCGAACATGTAATCCGCATTGAATATTTTAATAATTCGACGCCTCAATTTTAATTCTAGAAATTATAATTTGCCACAAAATTAGTTGATCGTCGAAATTTTTCTCACCGAGATCTTGAAATGGTAAACTACATATTACATTTTTTACTCTTACAAATTTTCGAGATCTCACTTACAATAGCTATAGTTTTTAGGATTCCACAAACAATTAATTTATAAAAGATATTGATCCTAAATTTATGCAATTTTTCCTAATATTGAGAAATGCTCATTACATTAGTTGAAAATGCAAAAAAATATTATTCCATAGCAGTAAGTTTCTTAAATTTTTGATTTTATAAGTATAAAAAGCTAAATATTTAAAAAATTTTATAGTCTTTAAATATATTTGTATTTACAACTTTTCCTTATTAAACACATTTTCTTTTTTCGCTTTATTTCCTTTACATCCATATACAAAGGAATATTGGAATAGGGTTAAAAATTTACGACTACGTTTGTAATGCTGAAAAATGTGATGTTTATAATGTCTGAGGGATAGAAAGAAATGCATATATTTGATTGGCATCGAAATCTAAATAATTTTAGCTGTGTTAACTTAATGGAAATTTCTTTATACAAGTGCAGAAAAAATAGATGACGAAATTAAAGAAGCAAGTTAAAGACAGAAAAATTAAAAAAATTTTTCTTCTAAACTGGACTCGAACCAGTGATCTACCGTTTTCAAAGCAGATGTTCAACCAACATAAGCTAAAGAGGTATGAAAAAATTGCCGAAAGCTGTGCCTACCAATTCGTTCATCTATAGCTTCGCCCGCCTGTTTGTCCTTCTAATTGATAGTTAAAAAATTTATCGTGTTAATAAAAATTTTCAAAAACTTCTAATAAAAGCTGTGTTACGAAATTTATTAAATAAGGGAGTTTTTATCAAATCAGTGGTTGCAAATAGCTTGAAAAATAATTTGGCTATTATTTTGAAAACAGTAAAATTTACAATTTTCCAATTTTAAACAATGAATACCGTAATAGGTCAAATTAGTATAAAAATAACAATAAAATTTGGTAGAATGCAGTTGTATAAGTTCTTTTAACAGCTGCTATAAAAATTCTAGGGTAATATTGTTGAATGCGACTAAGTTAAGTATAATCACTGTTCTGTCAACAAGAATCATACAAGTTTTAAAAAACTTTCTAATACGAGTATCACAGAGTTGACATGGTCAACTCTATCTTTTCTCTTTTTTATAAAATATTAAATATTTTCTCTTTTGCGGTTTTACATCTATTCTTCTTTTATATTGTGCCGATGTAGGTATAATCTTTCAATGATATAAAAAGAAACTCTTCATAATGGTATACTTAAGAGCAAACTGATTGGATTACAAGTTTTTTACAAACAAGAAATTTTTAATATTTTTTTTTTAATATCAGAAAAACTTTAGTCTTTAAGCGACATTATAATTTTATTTCATATTTCATTGCACACATTTAAAACAAAAAAGAAAAAACAGATTAATATCAAAGTGCGTACATACATAAGAGTGTAATAATAAAATTAAGTTTACCGTACTTGTAGTTTTAAGGGGAATGGAATAAGGAAGTCCTCATTTTATAATGGAGAAAAATGTTTTAAATACTATCATATAAATGTCTAGCCTTAAAAATGATTGAATTCGTTTAAGTTCTTTAAATGAAACGTTCTACTGCCCATAAAGAATTTGCATTCCATGTTTGTGTTGATTTCTGCAGTAAACACTATTATACGTTATTTTTACATAATTGACAATGATCAATATAAATTTGAAACAGAAAGGTATTGGATTTGAGATACTCTTGTAGATTTGTACAACTGGGGTAACAGTGCACCGCAACCACATAATTCCGCCATTGTGAAAGCAAAACCCCTTATTATTTCCCTTCTCTTAAGGATTAGAGCATCACACTCGCCCAGAAGGTGTACTGAGGTCTTTCCATTATTCCTACAGAATCATCAATTGTTTTCGCTTTTCAGACCCAGCCTATTGAAGTGGTCACAGTGACTCGATAAGGCCCTGGTGAGGATTCTCATCTGATACTTGCCCAACTTTATAATTTTTTTAAAACGCTTCCGGTTATAATCTCCAAGAAGATTCCCTGCCGCAGCCACTTCTCTTCTGATTCCATTCTTAGTTCCTAACGAAGAGTATGTGGTCCAATTCAGCGAAAGGGCTGTGGGCCAAGGAGAGTTAGCCCTTGCTAATTGAAAGCAGCCACTTTTCACTTCTTTCTAATCAAATAATCAATATATTTGTAAAGTTTCTGTTGCACATAAAGAATTAAAATTCTAATGAACTTTGCCAATGGAAAAGTAAAAAAGTAAAACTGCTTGAATAAAAATTTTTATTACATTGTCCTGCGCATCTATTCCTACAATTTTCAAATTTCAAATTCAATTTACACTTTGGATTATTTCGATTCAGGAATTTTATTGAGTGCGAAACGTTTATGAAAAAATCTCCAAATTTTCTTCTTTTTATCCTTTCTTTTTCTATTAATCCTTTTAAATCCATTATAAATTTTTGGATCTTCGTTAATTAAAAAAATATTAAATTTTGATTCATCATAACCCTGAAAAAATTATTAAAGTTTTTAAAATAAGTACACTGCCCCTTTAATATTAAATTTTCTTTACCTTCTGAAGTCTTTTAAGATTATTTGCTTTTATGCGATGAGCTTTCAAATTTTTTTTAAAATTTTTATATTTAATATGATCGATAATTGGTTTAAATATAAAAAAATAAATAATTTCAATTACTGAAAAAATACTAAAACCTAAGAATAATCCAAGTAAACCACCAATATTTGCTAAAAAAGAATGGAAAAATAAATAGAATATAAAAAGAATTAATAAATTTAATAGAAATAGTGTTATTTATAATTATTGAAAAATCTAGTATTACAATATTCTGAAATTTAGATACGTTTTAGAATAGTCAAATATTGAGTTTTTTTAAAGTTGGAGTGAAGCGGATAGTAGAGCTTCTAAACAAAATTCACTACAGCCGAAACTGTTGAATTTAGAACAATATGTTCCTTAACTAATTTAGCACTCTTTTTCATCAATTAATATAGTAATGCCTATTAAACGGTAATATATATGATTCATATCAAAACCTACTGTTTTCGAGTAATAGCTAAACTACTGCTCTGGTTAGTACGAGTATATGATCACCGGGTAGAGAGAACAAATCTCATTTCTTGTTATGATTTTATAGAGTTTATACGAAAACGAAATAAAATTCACTGTCCTTTTATGTTTTAAGCTATTTACATCTAAAAACAATTAAAAATATTTAGTTTCTTAAATTTTGTATAGAAATTTAATCGATAGAGACTTTTGTCATTGCCATATTTAAAAAGGTACCAAGTTCAAATTTTGAAAAAAATATAAGACAAAGTAGGGTAAATTTACTGTACTCTAAGCATATTTTCCTCTTACAAAACCTTAATGAAAACCTTTTTACATAAAAAAAAATATTGGGTACCTTTAATAAATCAGTGCTAATTTAGAATCAAAACTAAGTAGGCTACGAAAATTTTTCAAATTTATCATAGCATAAAATGAATAATTTGTTGTTATTGGTTACATTTATGTATATAAATATATATACGTAACTATTATAATTTAACTAATAAATCTGCAAAAGTAAAATTTTTGACTATTGAAAATCTATAGTAATGAAAAAAATAATAATTTAAAGATTTCAATTTGAAGAATCTACAAAAGTAGCAATAGAATGCCTTTAATTGGTCATTTCTCTTATATTGTACCGATTACAAATATGTATAAAAAAATATTATCCAAACAAGAAGGAACCGATTGAAGTAGTTCGAAGAAAAAAATTTAATGCGGCGTTCTTATACAGGTAAGTGGCTAAACATTAAATTTTTAGAAAAAAACTAAAAATTTTTCGAAAAAATTTTAATATCTTAAAAAATTTCGTTATTTTTTTATTATTTTTTTTTTTCGATACACTACATCATCCCCTACAACTGATCTCAAAAGAATGAAATACAGAATGACAAATATAAATATCAAAATATTTGTTCTATTTATTGTCTAGTCCTACAATGAGTTCTCAAATCACATTTAACATTCTGGATATTATGTCAAAAACTTTTTTTTTCAATAATTGGCAGGGTTTGTGTACTAGCTAAATGTTGTAAATTTATTATGTTACCCTATATAAGTTTGGTTTACAATATAGTGTGAGTTAGAGAGTTATCACAAAAAAAAAAAATTCGAAAAGATTATTTTCATTATCATAAAGTGAGAAAGTGATATAGAAAGGAAACAAATAAAATTAAAATCTAATATGAATTGAATATTCTGAATGGCTGCAGATTCAAATTCAAAAGGTAATAGAATGGAAGAAGAATGTCAGCCGTTCGTAAGTCATTACTGTTCTGGGCGCCCCTAGTCAAATTTGAAAAGATATTTTTTAATAATATTAAACGTAATTTTTCAGAATTCTCTAAAATAATTTATTGTAAATAATATACTTACATAAGAAATCCGTAAAAGTTATAATAACATCAAGTTGTTGACTTTGGAAATAATTTCTACTATAAAAGAAATGTATAACAGTTATATCATCATCTTTACTATCATTAGTATTATTGTTATTCATATTATTCCAATTTAAATTATATTTTTTAATTTTATTTGAAAAACTATTATCATTTTTATTAATATCAACAGTTGTTATTTGTGTTGTAAAACTTAATTCAAAACAACCTGGTTCACATGTTTCACATGTTATATTCGAATATTTATATGATTCAACATTATTTAATGTTTGTATTGTACAATTAAATTCATATGGTCCACATATTTTTGCATTTGATACAATCATTGGTAAATAAAATAATATACAACCACATTTATTATATAAAATATTTGCTTCACATTCTAATTGACAATTTTTTCTTGTATATTGCCTAAAGTATGTTAAATTACCTTCATTTGGAAATAAACATTTTCTTATATTTGGATTATAATTACGTAATGATTGTGATGCTACTTGTATTATTGGTTTTATATTAACACGTGATTCAGTACCACTACTAAATAATGAACCAAAATTTCTTATTTTTGGATGTTCTATTGGGCTATGCAATAAAAACTTAGAATAAATAATTTTAATTAATATAATTATTGTTAAATTGAATAATTTATTAGAATTTCAGTTGCGATCCAGTATGATACAATTTGCTCTTCTTAAGCTTAACTTGCCAATATTTGTAATATTGGCGTGAATATGAGGGTAAATGAATAATTTAGTAGTAAAATTTTTGGAAATTTTCGTATTTTTTTTTTTATTTGATGCTAATTGAACTCATACTGAATTCGTACTGAACACGTAATACTAAACTTATTTGATCGAAATTTGTACCAACTATACGAACGACTTTAATTATATATCATAGCACTAAACTTTGTTATCAAAATCGTAATTTTAAATTTTAAAAAATTTCTTAAAATTTTTAATTAATTTTTAAAAATCTTTACCTTAAAGCCATTACCTTTTTCAACAGAACAATAATAATCATTGCTTGAACTATTTAAAATAACTGTTAATCCCATTTTTTCACCAATACCTTTCGGTGGTCTCGGAAAAATATCATAATATTTATGGATATTGCTTGGAAAACCCTTTTCTAATGACCAATCAATTGGAAATAATTTTGAAGTTGTATTTGTATGACGCATTCGTTCCCCAGCTCTAAAATGATTATTTTATTTAGATTTATTGTTAATTTTCTTATTTACAAAAATAAATTATTTAAAATAAAAATATTTAAAATCTTACATAGTCCTTTTTCGTAAAAACATGGAGGAAACTGCATTAAATGTACAACAAATTCCATCATCAGTTAATTTTGCTTGAAAAATTTCAGTACAATTTCGTTCTCTGTCATTGAATGAGCAATATAAAAGCATTTCGGAACAAGATTGAGAAATCTGTATTAATGATAAAAGTACATATATGTATGTACTGGTGGTATTTTAATTAAAGAAACATAATTCAGATGAGAATACGATAAAAATGTGTAGGTTTATGTTTATCAGTCAAAATCAGTACCGTTATTAGTACATCACAAAAATTAAAATAAAAAATTATTGACACAAACCAATTCACGTAAATGGTTGGAGTCTATATGCAATAAAGGTATTAAAGTTTCTGGGAATATTAAAAATGTTACCATTTCATGAATAACTTGAAATCTCTAACAATATATGCACTTACATTCAATAAAAATGGTTTAAGCATATTCCATATTTCTTCATAATCAGTTTGCGGTAATTTTGTATTTTTCGCCCCAAAACATACACTTTGTAAGAGTGAGTCATCATAAGAATCACTAAATTTTTTTAAAAAAGGATAATAAATATTTTACTTGTATAATATACTTATGTGTGTGTGTGTATGTATTTAATTTATATTATGTTAACACTGCCACATACATTAAAAATTTACTGTATTTGATTCTTAGTTTTGAACCGAATATAACCACGGATTTCGTATTAAAATTGTCTCATTTTTGTTAAATTTTGAGTGTTATGGCAGTAGTACTATCGGCATAACATACATTTATTGACAGTTGTGATGTTGCAACAATTTTTAACTTAAATTTACATACCTTGGTATTTTTAAAGCTACACTTTTTTTAGCTCTATTTAAATTACAAATTGTTATAGCTGGAAATGGTATTGATGAAAAGAGAACTGGTTTCGGTGCTGTAGTAATTATAACTGGATGTTGAGTCCATTTTAAATATGCATTATTTATAAAATATCCAGAAAAGCCTAATATTATAAAAAATATAAAAGAAAAGAAAATCCTAAAAGGAAAAAAAAAGAAATTTTTTTTTAAATTTAAAGCTTCGGTTTTACGCATCAAACGTAATCTGGTTTACAAAGCCATGTTTGATTGTTCATAATAGATTTTGTTTGATTTATTAACATTTTGACTGTCAATGACATTTGCATAAGATAAAAGTCTAATAATATTTGCTTTCCCCTACTTTTATGATTGTTTCTGAATTAACACGGTATTTCTATGTAATTCAGGTTATAAACTCTAATTGAGCTGTACAAAAGTAGTTTCAAAACTATATCCTTTTAGAGTATTACTGTAAATTTTAATATTTGAGTCAAAAATTTAGTTTGAAAAGCGATTGTAATTTATTGCTCTATTGTGCACTTTTTACAATAAATTCTTAGCACTTTTCCGAAAAAAATTTTGAAAAGAAGTGCTAGAAGAAGAAGAAGAAGAAGATCCGTTTACAAAACTTTTACACTCTTGAAGATAGATATCTGAAATTTCACATATACATAGATCTTAACCACAAACTTAATCTCGTAGAAGACAATTTTTTCCTATCTCTCCCCCCTCTAAAAGGTATAGGCCTTCAAAGACCTAAAAATTTCAGTTTTAGAGTACTTGTTCTAAGGAAACCATAAACATTTTTTTAATTTTGTTAATTCAGGAAAGTAATGTCGGACCATTTTTACGGTGGTACAGCTTAATCAAATATTAATAAAATGGCTGCTTAAATTAACCGTTATCTAAAATTCATAATTTTTCAATCGTAAATTTTTGATAACGGTAAACTGTAGAAGTCTGAAATTTTAACAGCAGCAAAGAGTTTATTTCATTAGAAAAATTTTTTTTTTCTTTTCGAAATTTGAAAAAAATTACATTTTTTTTAACACCTTATATTTTCGAAACTGCAAGCTTTTCCAAGTTTCTATAAATACAAATGCTAACTTTAATACTATAAATATAAATGCTAACGGTAAATACTAACTATATAATATTAAAAATAATACGTTAACGGTAAATACTTATGTCATCAAAAATTGTAATTATTTCTTTTAACTCACGCAATTAAGGGTTAAATTCGAGTATTATGATAACGACTTTTACAATTTTACTTTTATCTCATCCTAAATGTATGCAATTTTTGCAATATTTTAGTATATGAATGAAATTGGTTTAAATAACGTAAAAGCTAGATTTTTTTAACTAGGATGTTAATAACCAGATTGCATTTTTAAATGTTGCAAGAAAAACTTCTACTTAACCAACCATTGCTTTGGTCCAATTTTCATTACCTTCAATATTAGTGTTTATTATTTTATTGCGAATTTTATAAAATTTTCTTTCATTTACCTTTCAAAAATATTTCGATTTTTCTCCGCTATATATTTTAAGCCGTGCAAAGATGAATTTTCTAAAAAATAAATAATTACTCCTTTAATTTTATTAATTATTTTATTAAATTTAGAATTTTTTTGTGTTTTTATTCCATTTTTATTATTTAAATTTTTCTTAAACATTTTATTAACCTATATGTCGTTTTCATATATAAAGAATTTATTCAAACTGCATTAAAAATATTTTTTTAATCTCTTTATATAGCATGAATGAATTTGAATATAGTGTAGAATTTTTATAGTGTATAACACTTTATAATTATAACTTATTTGAATTTAATATTTATTTAGTGTAATGAACACGAAACTGAATATTAATTTATAACATTTGTACTGGCATAATTATTTTAAATAAGATGTTAACACTTATTTAAATGTTATTTTAATATTTGTTTATTACAGTGTTATTAAAGTGTTCACATTAAATAAAAGAGGACATTAAATGGGACTTGGATATGAGATTATATTTATGGATTGAAAACATGAAAATATTTTTATAGGCAATGCATTACAATAACGCAGGATAATTGAAATAAAAAAATTTTAATTTCTTAATATTGAATTCGAAATTAATTAAAGTATTCTTTCAGTTATTTTTGGTTTTGTCTTTCTTGTTGTCTTGTTACTTGGCCACCATTATTTTGGTAATAGTACGCTTAGATTTTGTAGCTTGGTATTATAAAAAATATTCAAATTTACTTTAAAATCTTCTTCTTAATCTAATTTATGTGTAGGTACATATTTAATTCAGTAATAATTATTACTCAAAGCATCTAATCTTTATAAAATTTTAATAACATGCAATTTTAAAATTTTCGTTTTTCATATTTTAAATAAACAACATATTATCACGCGAATATTTTTATGCACAGTGTACATTTTTAATAGTTTTTAAAGAGTGTCCCAAAATTCACCCAACAAGTAATTTGTAAATTTTTTATCGATTTATATCGGGTAAATTGCCTCCACAACTTTGCTGTCACATACGCACTCTTTTATTAAAATTTTTTTCATGATTGTTTTGCATAAATGTGGCTGAATTTTGTTGATACAACGCTCAGTTTCCTCCTTCAAGGCGTGGGTGAACGTAAACATTAGTCTTATACTTCAAAAAACCCCAAAGAAAAAAATCCAACGGCGTTAAATCACATGATCTGAACGGGAAATTCTGATCACCAAAACGGGAAATTATAAGACCAGGAAATGACTTATGCAGTAATTGAATTGTTTTTCGGAGTGTATGGCATGTGGAAGTGTCTTGCTGAAACCACATGCGGTCCATATCCATATCGTACAATTTTGTCACAAAAAACTAGATTATCATGTTAGATAGCTGGTTATTGTCTTATCAGCGATAACTGGTTATTGCCTGATCGGCTGCATTTTCGAAGAAGAATGGTCTGATAATGCTTCCAACCCAAAATCCGCACCAAACAGTGTCACGTTATGAATGCATTTGTTTCTCAACAATCATTTTTGGATTTTCTCAACCCCACATGAGAAAATTTTGTCGATTAACAAAGCAATTTAAATGAAATAGAGAATCTTTAAAGATGACTCGGTTTGAAAAAATGCTTTGTTCTTTTGTTTAACGCTCATCTATCAAACTGTATTTTTTTTATAGGCAACCCTTTATGGCACAAATGGCGCAAAATTTAATTCTTGCGTGAATTTTGGGACACTCTTTACTTCGAAAGGAAAAATCAGATTGAATATATTATTAAAGTGTTGAATTGAAAAATTGAATTTGGTTTGATAAATTGGATCTAAAAATTTTTATAACTAAGTGAAATAGTGAGACGACAAAAAGATCTGATTATTATCATATTGTGTAAGAAGCTATTTCAGAAAAATTTTAATTGGTTTATTAAATTTAGGTATTGGTTAGTTAAGTTTGAAATTATATACAAATATATTGAGGAAAATATAGGGAGAATTTGAAATAAAGCGAAAAACTATTTCAAACTTTACTTTATGAGTAGTCTTCCTTAAAACCCATCATTTAATTCATACTGTTATTCAAGAGATTCTGTGATTTATTTTTGTGTCATAACACTAAAGATTTGATTAAGTATTATTAATTTGAACAATTTTTATTAGTCATTGAATCTCATAGTAGCCAAGAAACATACTCGTATTATAAGCAAACAAGAAATTATTTAAATAAAATAAAATATCGACACCTTAACTTCTTTAACTGTGATTTTAAATTATAGTGTATTTCATATTTTCATGTACCTACCAACATTTTTAAATGATTTTGAAAAAAATTTAAAGCAAAAATGCCATGCATAATTTATAATAATATTTACAAACTTGTAAAATCAAATATTTAAACTTAAAAAAATTCATGAATTAAATTTTTAGAATTATAAATGCTTATAATTCTAAAAATATAGTAAGAGTCAGTGGCAAATATTATAATATTACATGGAATGTATTCAATATTTAAAAGAAATTTTTCACAAGGATTTTTCAATTTCATATTGTTTACGTCGAAATTTTGAATGCTGTTAAATCACAGTAGATAATTAAATTCTGTAAAACTGAATTATATTCTGCAATTTTTCTACATTAAAGACTATTAAAAAATAATAAAAATTATTTAAATAACTGGAACAATTTCCAAAATGTTGCGATAACAAATTATCGTGCCGCTCTGTTGAGTTTAATAAAATATTTTTATATTTGAATAAAATTGCATAATTTTAGGGTTATTGTAGTATGTTCTATAGAATTACTGTAGTAAGCGACAAATTCAATTCAATTAAGTACTGTTATCCTAGTAGATGAAATATGCTTATGACGTCACTAATTAAATACACATATAATATAGAGCATTACGTATACTCCTGGAATTTTAACATTTTAATATCATTTATACATTAACGAAATATTTTCTATATTTTTTTTTAAATTTTGTGTATCGCAAGCCTGCAGTAATTTCAAGAACTATTTATCTTTCGTCAATCTTCATATCACCTTCATTTCATCTACTATATTTAATTTAAAACCACTTCAAATTAAGCAAAGGTCACAGGTTCGCAATAAAATGCTTGTTATTCTTTTCATACAAAATCTAAGCTCTTCACATTTTCACACTTTCTAAAACTATTTGTATTTAATCGAATTCGCAATTAATTTTTATTACACACACACACATGCACACGTGCTTTTATATTTTTATAATATGCAAATAACTAATATTTAATTAAAAAATTCGAATCCTGTTAAATTATTGAAGCATAACTGATTTTATATGCTTATTTGCATAACTGTAAATATTATATAATATATTTATTTGTGTTTGTATATATGTATTTGTAATTTACTTACAATAAAATCAATTGAAAATAAATAACATCTGAAGTGTAAATTTATCGGATCGTATTTGAATTTCTTATATTATTCGGATTTTTAATAAAATAATGTTGTAGTTCTATGCGACAACATGTGTGTAAATGTAAGTGAGATTTTTTTTTTGAATTTTATGTTATGAAAATATTTTAAATTTTATATTTCGTTCATGACATTCGTATGTCATAATTTGTGTCGGTAAACCAAAGTATATAAACTCTTTTTTTTTTTATTTATGACTTTATTATTATTTACGTTTACACATGCTAGGTTTCCTCTCGGATGGTTTGGGACTGTTTTGACAAGCTCGACCGGTTGAGTCAAGACAATCGGGTCACGTTGTGCTGGGTGTCAACTGAAGCTATAGAGCGCAACATCGAGGCTTCGGC